AAAAAAAATTCTGCTGAGTCCTTGTTTCTCCATTAGGTCGTTCCGGTGGCTGGGTAAGGAACTTCCCAGTGAGAGGAGATGTGTGTACTTATCATCTCTGTAATATGCATCAGCTTCTTCATTTTCAGAATGGAAAGAATCATTTCCAGAAGTCTTCTTTAAAATTAGTTTGTGGAAGTGGATTGATGAAGTGTCTTCATGAAATATTCACCAATAAAGCCTGCGCCACAGGCGTGTCCTTTTTATGTCTGCGTACCGAAACCCTCAGATGCGGTCTAGTCTCACTGGACGCAGCATTATTTCTAGCTGGTCCCCACTCAGCTGGATTATTGATCTCTCCAGGCTACTCAAGAGATGGAAAGTGATAACCCATCAGCCTATACAGAGTGGTTTAAAATGGTGCAGCCACTGTGGAAAACAGTATGGAGGTTCCTTAAAAAATTAAACAGAATTACCATATGATCCAGCAGTTCCGCTTCTGAGTATATTTTTTAAAAAAAATTGAAATCAGGGTCTTGAAGAGCTATGTGCACACCCATATTCACAGCAGCATTCTTCACAATGACCAAAGGGTGGAAACAACCCAAATGTTAACTGACAGATGAATGGATAGACAAAATGTGTATACATGCAATGCAATATTCTTCAGCCTTAAAAAGGAAGGAAATCCTGACCTAGACTACACGTGGCTGAACCTTCAAGGTATTATCTAAGGGAAATAGTCCAGTCACAAAAGGGCACATACTGTGTGATTCCGCTTATGGGAGGTACCAGGGCAATATTCACATTCATAGAGACAGGAAGTGGAATGCTGGTTGCCAGGAGCTGTGGGTGGGAGGAATGGGGAGTTAGTGTCTAACGGGTGTAGGGTTTCAGTTGGGGAAGATGAGAAAGCTCTGGAGATGGACTTTGGTGATGGTTGCACAACAGTGTGAATGTATTTAATGGGACTGAACTGTATGTTTAAAAATGGGTAAAATGGTAAATTTTACATTATATATATTTTACCACAATAAAAAAGTTAAAAAAAAAAAGTGGTGACGGTGAGAGAGCTGGAGCTATGAACCTGAGAACAGAGGTGGGTCCCACGGGTAGGACACTGAATGCTCTGGGTGTGCACACAGGCATTAAATCCTGAGGAATCCAGTTTGTGAGAAATACAAATGACTGTACTTGTTATTGCTTAGTTGGTCCTAGCATGTGATTTTTCATGAAATTTTGTCAGAAAAACTTTGGTCACATGAGTTATTATGCTAGTAGTTATTTTAATAATGGGTCAGGGAACAACATTTAGCTTTTCTTTGGCCAAGGATATAATTTTGATAAATGTTGCCTTCTGTTGTTAATTAGAATGTGTTAACACATTGTTGACTGGTGACGCAGATTTGCATCTATATTTAAAATGATAAGTTCGTGGAAACAAAGAAAAAAATTATGATTTGTCTTAGAACAAGTAAACCTCTATTTAAAATTGGAGTATACCTTATATTGCAGGGGGAGATCTGTGATATAAATTAAAACCAAATTTAAAACTGCTCATCCATGACACATCCTCCCTAAACTCTCCTCTCCTTCTCACATTCATACTTAACGTATAAGAAGAGAAAATCCTAGAAGCTGAAGATCTTTTGTTGACTGAGAATAATGATGTCAGCAGGAAAATGGCCTTGATATTGGTAATTTTGGTAATGTCGCTAGTATTTAGAATTGGAGGAGCCTGAGCAGAGCTTAATTACATGGCATAAAAAGGGGGGTCTTTGGGAGGATGCCCGATTGGATTTGGAGGGTCTATTGAAGGAATCATGAGAGCAGAGAATTTGGAGAGGAATAGAGTGCCATGGAGAGCATCTGGTAAAACTGTCCTCTTTCCCTGGATATTTTCAGTAAAACCTCCACCTCTCACTATGGTCTGGTGAGGTGTATGGGCTTTTGGGGAATGTGACCAAGTCCCAAGTGGTTCTTCACAGAGGAGGAGACAACGGTTTTTTCTCACCTGGGTTGCAAACTATTGTAGATGCCAATCCTCACGTTAACTTCAAATTCTAACTTCTTACCTTCTCCAATTCAACATTACCAAGCTGATGCTACCGTCCGTACTTTGAGGATAAACTAAAAAGTCGTATCTCTTCTTACTGTGGCAAGTCAGTGCTTTTCCAAATGAGTTTTCCAGGCATCCGTATATATTTTCTCTCTCACCTTTCTTCCCTAGCAGTCTCTTTTCAATACCTTAGAGGTTTTTTTTTTCCTTTCTAATTTATCTCATCTAATTTGAATGGAAGCTTCCTTGTGGAAATGGAACCCCCAATATTAAGTAGGTTAAGCAATGATAGCTGCCACAGCAGGCAAAACCCCAAATCTTAGTGGTTTGATGAATCAAACGTTGATTTCACACTCCCAGTACATGTCCGTCTTGGGTCAGTAAGGGCCTTGTCCCACAGCATCACCCAGGTACCCAGGCTGCAGGAGGCTCTGTCATCTTGTGGATGAATGATCTGGAAAACACGGCTTCTAAGATTACCCACTAACGAGGAGAAAGGGGAGATGGAAACAGGCCCTAGATCATGACTGTCTAGGCTTAGAAGTGACACTGGCCAACTCTGCTCATAATCCATTGGCCAAAAGTGGTCATTTGACACCAGCTTGACTATAAGGGAGGCTGAGAAATATAGGGGAGCACATGGGATATTTAGTGAGCATTAACTCTCTCTGCTACTGTGAAGCCCAAGTTTCATTATAATTCAAACAACCTTTGAATATAATTTTTATATGATGATGTACTAATCTATTCTTATGGACATTTGCTGCAACTTCTTCCTTCTTTATCAATTTCCTCAAACTGCAGCCTAAAGTTTTAAACCTGAAATATACAGACATGTTAAGAAAAAGTGTTGGAGGCAGTTAGTGTCCCCTGTCATGCTCTCTTTTTTCAACTTGTCTATATATTGCTTGAGGTTCTTCACAGCTTCTCATTAGGACGTTCATGTATAAATATGAACTCGTCTGCTTCTAGGTAGGGGACCTGACGTTAGCTAGATATCATCATTATCATCATCATCACCATCACCATCATCATCATCGTCATCATGATCTTAGTTAATCGTTCTGTCATTCACTTATTTATTAACTTATATTCATTTTTGGACCTTTTTTCCTGTGAAGTAAAAGCATTTCAGTGAAATGAAGTGAAAATTCCTCACTTCAGCTCTTACTTTTTGGTGATAGTTTTCTTCTTTCTTTATTGTTCTTTTGATTTGGCTATTCTGTTTTGGGAACAGTCTTACCTAGGCAGAAGACTATCGGGTAGGACCATGGCAGGTTGTGCAGGGCTGGATGGGAGTGGGTTTGGGCTGCCATGTTGTCTGCAGGCCTAGCTGTGTTCCAGGTCACAGCATAGACTAGAGTCACAATGGATTTCTGGGGTCCTTCTTTGAGGTGCATTGTTAAAAGGGTCTTGCTGTTTTTTGAGGCTGTCCTTTACATCATGTTGGGATACTCAGGGACCCATTTCCCTCCCAAAAGATAAGAATTTAGGAGGGACCAGAGAACCTGCATTGGAGGGTATGTGGGGGATCTTACAGACTGGACCAATTACATAGATTCCAGTGGTTATTTTTGTTTCTTGAAGGATTGGACAGAATTGAGCTGACCTTCACCATGATCTTCATGCTGTTGACCCCAAGAAGAAGTACATGCCAAAAAGGACTCCCTGTGATTTATTGGGCCTCAAATTTATAACCAGAGGGTAGCAGCCGTTACTGACAGAGGCCTCATGTACAGTGCATATCAGGGAAAAGCCACAGACTGAGCTGCCAAGCCTCCTGTGCTGTGTTCCTGCCATCTGAACCAAACTTTATAAAGGAATTCCTAGAATAGTTCCACCAATGGGCTGAGACCTGCCCCTTTTATTTATTTATTTATTTTTTATTTATTTATTTTTTTGGAGGGCAGTGTAACTGGCCCTCATATGTGGGATCCGAACCGGGGCCCTCTGGCATCCCAAGCCAGTTCTTAACCATCGCGCCACTCGGCTGGCCCTGAGACCTGCCCCTTTTAATTGGAGCCACATAACTATATCATTTACATATATCCCCCTCCAGTCAGAGGGGCTCCATAATGACCAATCAGAACACACATGATTCTGATGACACTGCCATTTGGACCAGTCAAACTGCAAATTTGGATTATCTATTTGCATAAAAATGGACCAATCAGAGACCAGGGAGGGTACTTTCTCTATATAAGAGGGCCTCCCCTTTATCTCAGAGGTGTGCACTTTAGGTTTTCACTGGAGGGTGCATTTCCCTGGATGCAAACTATTTTACCTGAATAAAGTTTCTCCTTTTACTACACCCCAGATTGGGGATGCCTGTTGGCACTGGATTGGTGGCAGCAGCCTTTTGTTTCCAATGCTAAGATTCTTTGTCACTGATGGAAACATCCCTCTGCCTTTTAGAAGCAGCCCACCCTTTTGTGTGTCTTGCCTGCATCACACCTCTCGGGAAATCCAGTGGGAGACCAGGAAGGGAAGGAAGGGCACATTACACTCACCGTCCTCCATCCCTCCCTCCTCTGTTCTCCACAGAGCTTGTTGTTTTTTTCTTTTTGTTTTTTTGAAGGAAACAGCACCTCAAAGGCCTTTCTCTGGCCTTTAAGACCAGATGCACAGGAACACCCGATTAGGTATGGAAGACAGCTAGTAGAAAATGCAGAGGCTCACTAGAATTTATCTGTCGGTTGTTCTGTGGGGCTCCCGCCTGCAAGTCAAATATTGGTCATCGATGCAACTAGTGCCAGAACCTGAGAAACAAGAAAGACTTTAGAAAAAAGACAAAAAGTTGGCAGCTCTTTCTCAGGTATTACGAACAGGAAAAGTTATAAAACTAATACAATTTGAAATCTTGCCCTATTTATGCTCAATAAATAGTTTAAAAAATGCTTTCAGATTTAAAACAAAATGTAATACTATCAGCAAATGATTTTTTTTCTCTTTTCATCTTTAGGCTTTTCCTCCAAATGCCATCACTGTATTTTTTTACTGCAGTTCAGTGACTCTATTCTTCACAGTAATCAAATTGGTCAGCTATCGCCTACACGTCATGTTTGATAAAGGAGAAGTAATTCAGCAAAGGCCCTCCAGAAAGAAAGAAAAGCCAAGGAGAGGCAAAGAAGCCAAGAGTGAACACATAACTAATCCCAAAAACCCAAGGTAACATTTCTCATTACTGCATCAGTTCACAATTTAAATGTTTTCATTTTGATAAAAATGATTTTTCTCATTTATTAGTAGTTTATGAAAATATGCCAACTTTTATACACAAATATGTATAGTTTTCTTATATGTAAACACACACTTAAGCATAAAATTGATACTAATAATCAAGATGGTTTAACTGACTATTAATATGACCTTAAACCATGCTCTGGAATTCATTTGCATTAGGCTTAGCACAGCAAAATATTTTACTTCAGTGTTTTTATCTTGTCATTTCAATGCTTGCTGCGTGCCAGAGTTTTCTAAAAGAACACTTATGTTTGTTAACATAAAAGTAACATGGCATAAAGCTGAAATATTAAAAGTAATTCTCAAGTATCACTGTTAACCATTCTTGCCCTTATTTCTGATAGTTCCTTAGAGAGCATGTCTTATTTTAAAGTAATGTTTATTAATTACTCTTTCTTAAAAACAATTTATATACAGTGATTATGACAAAATGGAATCTAGAAAAAAAGTTGTTTGGGGAGTCAGCATTCTATTTGATGATGTAACTGCCCTTGTGTTTCTCATGTTGGATTAGCAATAACAGGCAGATGAACAACGGCAAAAAGGAAGAGGCCGATCGAATCCGCTCTACTCCGCCGCCCCACGGCAGCACCAGAGGGCAACGCACCAACTCTCGTCACTCTTCCGGGCTATTGGTGAGTGATCGGTTTTTCTGGTTCTCTTTCTTCATGTTGCTGTAGTGTTGATCCCACCTTGCATGCGAGTGTGCAGTGGCCGTGGCTCTAGCTTACGTGCACACTAGCTGTAAATACTGGCCCTTGAGCCTGTGAAGTGTCATGACTCAGAGGGAGGAAGTGAACTGGGGGGTGTGTGTGCTTGGGCTGGAAGAGAAACGCCCAGTCTTGTGTTGGAAGCCCACCCACTGGCTTCCTGTGTTCCGCCCCACCCTGCCAGGCCTCCCGCTCTAGCCCGAAGAGCCCATTTGCAGACCTCCACTTTCCTGTCTCTCCTGTATTTCATCAAAATCACCATAATTGCAATGCCTTTCCCTGGAGTCTGTGCCACCTCTCTACTTGAGACCACACTTGTCTCTTGGAAAGTCAATAAATTACCTTTTTTCTAGATTAATTTTATTGGGCTCTATTCACTATACTATAAAGTAGTATATTATCCTTTCTCCTTTTTAGTTTCTTAATTACCAAACTCCTTTTTATCACAGCACAGTGGTCTTAGTTGGATGTCTACACTTACATATGTATATTTTTGTATTCATTTTTGCTACCCATTTTATTAGAAACTTAAGCAGAATGGACACTATGGTCTCTTCACTACATGTCATTTAGAAAAGCAGTGGCTGCTGACTGCCTGGAAATGTGCAATGAGCTAAGTCATGTATTGATTTTCATTCTTTCATTTATTTAGGAGTTGTCAGCACAGGAAACAGCGGAAGATCTCAAAGGTAGTGTTTGTTGTCATAATTTAATATTTTATCACAGCATTATCCTCAGTGAAGTAAAAAATATTTTTTTATGAAACAGAATGCAAGTGAAATAGTTGAAAATAAGAACTATACCTAAGACTATATAGTTATATTTTAACTTCATTTCTTTTACTCGTAAGTTTAATTATTTCTCATCAGAATTTGTATGTCATGTCTTTATCATATTTCATTGTCCTTTTTCCAGTCTGTGCCTCACTTCATATCTCATAATAACAGATACAAAACAGAATAAATGTATCACTAACATACAAACTTTATTATAGTACATTGAAAAATGACTGGAAATTATATCAAATTCTGTATATCTGCAATTCTTTCAAATTACAAATTTTGTTTCTGGGAACTTTCTTTTAACCCTTCAAGTTTTTGTTTTATGTTTTTACTAAGATTTTATTTTACTGTCTTATGATTACCTTCAGAAGACTTGGAAAAGAACTTTTGGAGGCCTGAATTAACCCCTTTCTTTGCATTTTTTTTCCCAGTAGTACTACAAAGAGAAACTTATGCTCTATTTAAATTTTGAAAATAGTGTAAAGTTTTATTTTCTGAAAAACAGCTGAAATTAGCACCATGGCCCTGAAAGCCTAAAATGAAGCTTGTTTTTTATCACTCAGCTAATAATATAATAATACATTATTATTACATAGTACATATTACATTAGTTAGGCTTCAGATATTTTAGTTACACACAAAATCTCATAGCAGTGTTGTTTCCTGCCAGTATTTACACACACAGACACACGCTTTCCTCATATTACATTAGGTCTTCTTCCAGATGAGCTGTACTGCTGCTATTAACACCCTTATGTTACATCCTTTCAATGTCTGTTCTGGCCTTTAAACTTGACCATTTCAGTTGAAACAATTCCTTCCTTCTTTCCTTCCTTCCATGTACTAGGAATTCCAGTAGGGGTTTTGGATGCATCATTCCATTCTGAGTCATAACAAGTAAAATGTGCAGGTGGCATTTAGACCCACACCTGACTACCTGACTACCAAATCCAGTGTTTTTCAGCAACACTGCATTACAGCAATTTTTTTTTTCATAGATTCATAGACCAATCTCATAATACACCATCCTAGAATCCAATTCCTTTTGTTGTTAAAAGCCACAATGTCTTTCTTTTTTTAACAGCTCTATTGAGATATAATTTAGATGCCATCATGCAATTCACTCATTTAAAATGTATAATTCAGTGGTTTTTAGTATATTCACAGAGTTGTATATCTACCATCACAATCAATTTGGGACTATTTTCATTACCTTGAAACCCTAAACCACTTAGCTACTACCCCTCAACCTCTCCATCTCCATCAGCCCTAGGAAGCCACTAATGCACTTTCTGTCTCTATAGATTTGCCTGTTCCGGACATTTCATAGAAATAGAATCATATAATATGTGTCTTTTTGGAACTGGCTTTTTAAATTTCACATAATATTTTCAAGGTTCATTCATGTTGTTGTGTATCAGTACTTCATTTTTTTTTATTGCCAAGTAATATTCCATTGACTGGACATACCACAGTTTATTATCCATTTACCAGTTGATAGACATTTGGGTTGTTTGTACTTGTTACTATTGTGAATGATGTTCCAATGAATACTCATGTGCATGTATTTGTGTGGACATGCGTTTTTATTCTTCTGGGTATATACCTAGGAATGGAATTGTTGAGTCATTCAGTAACTAACTATTATTTAACCATTTGAGGAACTGCGAGACTTTTTTAGAGAGCAGATACATCACTTTTCATTCCTACCATCAATGTATGAGGGTCACAGTTTGTCTGTGTCCTGAACACTTGTGCAAATTTTCTATTATGGCCATCCTAGTGGGGTGAAATGGCATCTCATTGTGGTTTTGATTTGCATTTCCCTAATGAATAATGCTGTTGGTGTTTTCTAATATTGACTGACTAACAATGTTGATTTTGATGTTGGTAAATGTCTGTTCAAGTCCTTTGCCAATTTTAATTGGATTGTCCCATTGGTGAGTTATAAGAGTTCTTTATACGTTTTGGATACAAGTCCCATAGCATTTGCAAATATTTGCAAATATTTTCTCCCATTCTGAGGGTTGTTTTGTCACTTTATTTGTAGGGTCCTTTGAAGCACAAAAATTCTTAATTTTCATGCAGTACACTTTTATTTTTTATTTTGTTTTTTTGGGCTTTTGGTGTCATATATAAGAAACCATTGCCAAATCCAAGGTCAGGAAGATCTATTCTTCTAAGAGTTTTATAGCCTTAATTCTTATATTGAGGTCTGTGATCCATTTTCAGCTGATTTTTTTTGTATGATGTGAAGTATGGGTCCAACTTAATTCTTTTGCTTATGTTTATAAGTTGTCCTAGCACCATTTGTTGGAAAGACTATTGCTTTTCCTATTAACTTGACCTGGCCCCCTTGTTGAAAATCAATTGACCATACATGTAATGGTTTATTTTTGGACTTTCAATTCTATTATTTTCATCTATTATATATGCCTATTTTTTTGCCAGTATGACACTGTCTTGATTTTTATATCTGTGTAAAAAGTTTTGAAATTGTGAATTGTGAGTCTTCTGACTTTATTTTGGTTGTTCTGGGTCCCTTACATTTCCATGTGAACTACCAATTTCTGTAAAAAGACGGCTGGGATATTGATAAGGATTTTGTTAAGATGGCAATTCTCCCCAAATTTATCTAAACAATATTAAGTTCTCCAGTTCATGAACATGGACTATCTTTCCATTTATTTGGATCTTTTTTGATTTTTTTGACAGTGGTTTATAGTCTTCAGTGTACAAGGTTTTGCACTTCTTTATTACATTTATTCTTAAGTATTTTTTTAGATGCTGTTATAACTAGAATTATAATCTTAATTTCAGATTGTTCATTGCTTGTGTATAAAAATATTGATTTTTGCACATTGATTTTAATTGTACAAACTTCCTGAATGTTTATTAAATCTAGAATGTTTTTAGTAGATTCCTTAGGATTTTCTATATACAAAATGATGTTTGTAAATAGTGAGCCTCTGCTTTTCCCTTTCTAATCTAGTTGCCTTTTATTTATTTTTCTTAACTAATTGCACTGGCTAGAATTTCCAGTACAGAGTTGATTTCAACTGGTGAGGGTGAACATCATTGCCTTGTTTCAGATCTTACAGAGAAAGCATTCAGCCTTTCGCCATTAAGTATGATGTTAGCTTTGGATGTTTCATAAATAGCCTCTATCCAGTTGAGGAAGTTCCCTTCTAGTCTCAGTTTGTTCATGTATTTTCATGAAAGGGTATTGGATTTTTGCAAAATGTTTTTTATGTATTTATTGACATGGTCGTGTAGTTTTGTCCTAGTTTCTTTCTTGATATATTTTTTCTTAGTAACTGTGTTTTTACAGTAAAACTGTGAAGGATAGAAGCCAGATGACTATATTCAGTTAGATTTCATTGTTAAGCAGTATCTTGGTAGCGTCACTTTTGGCTAACCTTTCTGAGTTTTCTAAGTAGGAAATTAATTATTACCATTTTTGCTTAGAGTTGAGCAGGCACTGAGATATGACATGCTAACATATTCACAAAAGACCCATTTACAGGTCACAATATGGCTTTTTTCATTTCTATACAATAAATTGTTGTTGACCAACTTTCTTCCCTCAGCTTTTATAATAGCACATTTTCCTGATTTTCTTCTTTCGCAGTGTCTTTTGGTCCTCCTCTGTTGTTTGATGACTAAAGGTTGGAGTTCTCCTGGTCTTGCCTTGGGCCCCTTCTCTTCCCTAGATACCAGCTCTCCCTTGGTGATCTCATACCTATGTGATGATGATGAGTACATCTGTTTCTCCAATTTTGACATCTCTCTGGATTTCAGTTTCACACATCCAGCTCCTTACACATATTTCCTTCTGAATAAAATGATTGTTTTTCTAGAACCATGCAGTCTAGTTGGGAAGATAAATTAAATGTACATAAATAAAACTACAGTTTAAGGAGTATGTGGTAAGTGAAGTCTAGTTTTACAGACATTAAATGCTTAAGGAATTCAGAAGAAGAGAGCTTATGTCTGGTTTAGGTGATCATGGGGAGTTCCGTGTTAAAGGAGAGACAGGATGAATAAGGCCTTGGATGGGGTCCTCAGTGAGTGAGGAGAGGACATTTAGGTGGGAGAACTGTGCCCAGGGCTGGGCTAGAGTCAGAGTGGGTTTTTTACTACAGTGTGTAGGCGGGGCAGGGTTCCTCAATTCTTTCTACCCAGGTGTCCCTGAGGGCAGGCAGTGAGTATGTACCCCAGCCTGCCCCAGGCCCCTGCCTCCTGAGCCCCCCAGGGTCGTAGACTGAATGGACCGTGGTAGCAACCAGTAATTAAAAAAATACATTTGTCTTAAAATTTTTTTAAACCTTTTTCATAATATGCCCATTTGTTTTGATAATAAGGTAATATTTTATATTACCCCAAGAGTTGTGTTATCAATTTTTTCCTCCAGTATCTGAGTAAATGAGAAGTTGCTTATCGTGTTTTTCCTGTGGCTTTGCAGATCCTCGGACCATGCGTCCCTTGTGCTCCCAGAGAATAAGATAGACGTGAAGGAAGAACTGAAAGCGTTTATTGAGTGAATGACTATAGGCTAGGGGAGAACAAAAAGCCAAAAGATAACCCCAGGGTTTCGAGCCTAAGAGGCTCGGGAATGGTAGGCTCATCAACAGATATAGGAAAGCCGGGAGCAGGACAGAGCTCACTGTCAGCCACCATCATAAGTAAATACTGTTTTTTACATGCAATTTATAACGTTTTGAAAATATATGAATGACATCAGAAGTGCGAGGTTATTACAGTCCTTGGGTCAAGGCGACAGCAAGCCCATTGCCAGTCCTCAAGCTAGTGCTTTCCTGGTCCATGCTTACAGATCCCCATGGCAACCTTAAGAGATTGGCTTAATTATCCCCATTTTATAGATGAGGAGGTTGAGGATTAGAGCAGTGGTTCCCAACGGGGGTGGGGGTGGGAGTAGGGGTGGGGTGGGGAGGGGCGTGGTTTGCTCTCTGTAGGGACATTTGACAATGTCTGGAGGCATTTTTTATTGTCATGACTGAAGGCAGGGGTGCAGCTAAGCATCCTACAATGCACAGGACAGTCCCCCACAACAAAGCATTATCTGGTCCAAAATGTCAGTACTGCCACAGTTGAGAAATCTTGTTTTAGGGGGATTCCGTGACTTGCCCAAGGTGACAGAGCTAGTAAATAGAGCCAGGAACTTTCTGACTGCAGGGCCAAAATATGTTGTTTAAATCATACCAGTCCCTCCCAAGGCCACAAAACAGTAAATGCTAAAAGTCTGAATTATTACTGTAAATATAGAGATTTCAAGAACAAGTTCATGTGGAGGTGATATTTTTTCAATAAACATCCAATCGTGTGGGTTGTTGGTGCTATTTTTGGTTTTGTTATTACTAGGCCTTGCTCTGGGCCATTATTCACCCATCTCGGATGGGGATAAAGTTGGTATTCTTGTTTATTTTAGGTGTCATTCTGTCAGAAGACCAACCTGTAGCACCAGTGTCATCTACCTCACCTGGTATCAAAACAGAAAGCCTACCTGCTTCTAAAGCCTACGTGCCAGAAACCGTGACCATGTCAGCAATACCAGCGAAACCAGTTGTGGCAGAAAAAAGTGATAAAGGGAAGGAAACAGGAGGCAAGGGGCAGCCCCCTTCCCGCCACAGGTCCGAGGGTGGCCTAGTGGAGAAAGATGCCTTGAAGAAGCTGCCACACCTGTCTTTGTCACAGTATGACCTTCTAGAAACAGATGTTTCTTTCCAGCCATGGGGGAGTGAGAATTCAGTCCTGATTCCAGAGCCTGTGAGTTGTGCCCAGGGCTCTATAAGGGAACAACTGCAAAGCAAGTCGCCTCAGGACAGCAAGAGCAGCAGCTGCCCTCGGTGTGACACTGTTGTTGCCGAACCTGAGCCTGAGCCAGCGGTCGCTTCTTGGCAGGTGGACCCTCCATCCAACCAGGCGGTGGACTATTCAGGTAGCGACGTAGCTGTGACTCTCATCGATACTTCTCAGCCTGGAGACCCACTGAGCCTGCATGAACCCATTAAGATTGTCATCACCATGAGCAGCGCCCCGAACTCCATGACAGACTTGGAAAGCTCGCTCCACCTGAAGGTGACAGGCACAGAGAGAAGTGGTTTAGAGTCTGAGGCTGAGCCAGCTACCCCAGGGGAGGCCAGTCCTGCAAACCTGGAGCAGAGAAGAATCCCTGTCATCACGCTGGAGCTGTCTGACGATGGGGGAGGAGGCAGTATGCGTCCCGAAGGCAGTGGGAAGCAGAGGGCTCCCGAGAGACTAAGGGTGGAGGCAGCCTCCCCTCAGCGTCCTGGCTGCGAATCTGCGGACGGGGGAAATGCTGCAAAGGCCGGCAGCCCTCCCCCAGGAGACCATTGTGAAAGAGCCCCTCCGCTCACCCCCAGCGTGGCCTCTGAGTCTGAGCGGGGAAGGGAAGGCCAGGCTCACCTTGACCCCTCCTCTTGTAAAACCGGCCATGAAAAGAGACATGCCCGGGTCCTCAGCGTGGACAGTGGGACAGATGTCTTCCTGAGCAAAAGTTCCACCGAAATTGTTAACGACAAAGACAAAACGATACCAACTTCCAAATCTGACCTAGAGGCTAAGGAAGGACAAACGCCAAACGAATCCAACTTTCTGGAATTTGTCTCCCTGTTAGAATCGATCAGTAGTTCCAAGGTGGTGGCAACCAGCCAAAGGAACGGCCCAGCAGAACCGGACAAGGCCAGCGGGCTTCCCAGAGGTAAGGCCCTCCACCAGGTCCGTCCTGATGGTACAGAGAAGACAGCACGCCTGTTTGTTATGTGCCTTCTGTGATGTGATTTTGCAAATAATGGGACAACTGTCGGGCAGTTGTTTGCTGCCTGGCATTGTCACTGGTATTTGCTGAATGTGCCAACACAAAGCTATGCGATGAGCATCTGTTAAAATTGGCTTACCCCACCAGGAACCTTAAGGCATAGAAAGGAATGTTTGGCTGCCCCAGAAAGCAAGGATATTTATTTCCAAGGAAATAAGCAATTATGCCTTACCACAGTGACAAGAACTCACAGCAGATGTCTGTCTCTTCCTGTGTAGAATAGACGCGTTCTGGGAAACCTGGTCGTAAAGCGAATTTCTGTTAAGGGAATCCACTTCTCTGTTGAATTCCATGATCAAATCCTGTATGCAAAATTCCCTGATTATCCCATGTTCTGTACATCAGTATAGCGGACACACAGCTCTTACTTTATCCCAGGCACTGTCCTAAGCACTTTACATGTGTTAACAGGTGACTGTACATGGTGACTTGCTGAGAGGGTCCTCATTTACACAAAATTATTAATAATTTTGCCAACATAATTATTAATAGCACCGCCTTTCACTCTCCAGGGCATTCCCATTTTGAACAATACATTATACAGTTATTCGCATATTATCTCATTTACGCCTCATATAACCTGTGTCATTCCTTTTTTACAGAGGAAGCTCAGGTACTTTCACTAACTTTCCCAAGTTAGTCTAGTAAGTGTAGGAAGTACTGAGTTTTGACCCCAGGCAGTCTTGCTCCAGAGCCAATGCTCATAAATAAAGTGTGTTTCCTGTGTGACTATAGGATTCATTTATTTTTAGGTTGCTTAGTATCTCTGGGCCTCTGTTCCCTCACTGGTGAAATGATGTTACTGGACTAGAGTTTTTACAAAGTCCTTTCACTTTAAATGTCCACGTTTCTGTCGTTTTGGAGCACATTTCTGCATGTATATCTGATGAGACAGTGCCTCTGTGGGAGCATGGCATGCTGGAGTCTGTGGTGGCACATGGCAGCTTCTTTCTTTGCTGTAAGGGGAGCATCTCTATGCGCCACATTGCCCTTGGCTGCTGGCTGTGCTCTGCTCGCTGGGACCGCCAGGGGGCGCTCTGGCCCCATGTTGGCAGCTCCCTGCAATTCGCTGGTTTCTTTTGTCTTTCCCACTCTGTGCCGAAAGGACTGCCGAGCTTGATGATTTGGCCCACTCTTGCTTAAAAATTCATTAAGTTTGAATATTTAAATTATATAAAGTGACTATGTTCTCCATTTTACTATGTGTGGATATATGCAATTTTGCATATAGAGTAATAAGAACAGGAAAGATTCAGTTCAACTTTTTAACAGACATGGGCAGTACAAGAAAGCTTTGGTTACTTGGAGAAAAAAATGTTTCTGACATAAGATGTGGGTGTTCATCATCCAATAAAAAGGTTCATGCATCTAGAGCAGCACTTTCCACAGCGATGGAAATATGCCGTATCTGCTGCCCACTACACTAGGCTCAGCCACATGTACCTGTTACATACTGGAAGTTGGGATTATGTAACTGAGAAATTGTATTTTTCATTTTATTGAATTTCAGTTTATTTAAATAGCCACATGTGGCTCCTGGCTATAATATTGGGCAGCACTGGTCCAGATGACACGTGTGTCTTCCCGGGAAGCCGTGTGCATGAATCACTGCCTTTGGGACCTGATGGCCCAAAGCCAAATTTTGGGTTTGCAGTACCAGCTGGGTGAGCCTGGACAACTTATCAAATCCATCTGAGTCACAGTTTCTTCAATACAGCAGGAATAATAATATGTTACAGATTACTGTGAGGATCCAATTAGAAAAATATGTAAAAAAGTCTTGGTACTTGATCAATTTCAGCCTTTTATTCTGATTTTCCCGTCAGGCTATATGTAAGGTTTATTTGGTTTGTTTATTTAAATTTCTGCTCTTCTTAAAATTATCAGCCAGCCATGTTCAATCAAAACAGAGTCCAGTTGGAAATCTAGAGGACGTTCAAGGTATGGATGCTGCGAGGTTTTCTATGGAAAGGACCAGGGTTGGTTGTCGGGAGCTTGCAGGTACAGCAGGAAAGGAGGAGTTGGAGTAGATTATATGCCTATTCCAGGAAAGGACAGAGGTCTTTAATTCGAGGATGAAAGAGAAGGTCAGTGAGTCCTTTAGTTCTTGCTAAAGGTGGTCATTGCTAATGGTGGTAAATTAGATGGTTTTCCAGGGGTTCCATATACCTTAGAGATTGTTAATGTCTTCTTGCTCTTTTATCACTAAGTAATTTGTTATTTATTATAATCTAAAAACCAAATTTGGAGTGTATTTATAAAACAACATGACAGTATTTAGTGATATTAGCAGCCTAGAGAATGTTCCCTAATCTTTCTCTTGCTCCATGGTGAAACAGTGCTTGAGACTGGACATGATCGTAAAGATATGTGATTTTCCAATTCTCTCTATTGTACTCTTATTCCAACCCAGGTCATCTCCACAAGGGCTGGAGGGTTTACTTCAGGATCTTGGGGATATCCTAAAGTTCAAGGCTATGGAAAACCACACACTCACCGAAAGACCTAAAAACCGTGGTTTGGTTTGGTTTTGCTGCAGCTTTATTTTCCTTTGTGGAGATAAACAAATACCCACCAAAAGAGAAACAAGAAGGCTGTTATTATTCAGAGTCCCCGATAGCAAGGGAGTCAGCTTCCATCACTTGTGTTTTGGCAGAGACTCAGAGACACGCAGAGGAGTGGGGAAGCTTCATGGTGGAGAAGGGAAGGTTCCCGCTGTGCTCTGATTGGGGCTGTTGGCCTGAGAAGCTGGAGGCGGCGAACTAGCGCATCCTCTGTGATTGGTTAGGGGCGCGTATTTGGCTTGCTCTGGTTGGTCCTAAGCTAGGCGGCTAACTAGCACATCCCATGTGATTGGTTAGGGGAGCGTATTTGGCTTTCTCTGGTTGGTCCTAAGTTGGAAGCAAGAACAAAAATTAAGGAAGCTGTCAGTAATAATCAAGTCCTAGTCATTTTGGGCCGATTGTTACAGGGGTTATTGTTTGGCTTCCTGGACAGTTTGCCAAAAATAGTGGTCTGACTTCCTACAAGTGTGACTTGTACATAGTATGTTGGCTTCCTGGGCTGGTTACTGTAGACAATGGGTTGGTTTAGGGGGTGGTTGCTGTATACTGTGGGTCAGAGTTCTATTTTTATATATATTGTTTGGCTATTATCCATTTGTATATTAAGTCTTTTCTAGACTTTCTAAGAAAACAATTATGAATTTATGTAGAGATGTTTACTGAAGAATTATCTATAGTACGGAAAAATTGAAACAACTTAAATTTACAGCAATAGGGGTCTAGTTCGATAAAGTATACTGTATCATTGTAACATATAACTACTATTTTTGGATGATATAGAAGAGTGTCTAATGTCATTAAATATTTATAATACTTTAAGATAAGTATAACAGTTATAAAACAACATCCGTATTATGACTTAATTTTTGTAAAAAACAATTGTGTATGCATAGAAAAAAAGACTGCTATGATATTGGCTCCTATATCAGCATGGTGGGGTTAAGAGTGATTTAAGATTTTTTTTCTTTTCTCTAGTTTTAAATTATATAAAATTAATGTATATGTTTTTATAAGCAGAAAATCACTAAAAAATGTATTTTTAAAGGGAAAAGGAAAATAATAGTCCATATGTTGACATATTTGAATAATGTACCCGTTTAAGAGGAGTGACTAAGATAAAGAGATGTGAAGAAATAATTCCAAATACTTGTAATGTGAAGGGGCAGAGCTGGTTAAGTGCCTTTCTGTGGCTTGTTATGGGACATGATTACTGGCTGAAGGTATTTGTTATGATAGTACTTTTTCACAAATGTATTTCTTGAAAACTGTGAAAACTTCTATCTTGACAAGCTGTCAAATGAAATGGAAACATTTTTGTACCAAAGAAATTCTAATGGCATTTCGCAGATGTGGTGGGAATGTTTATCTTCAGGACTCACGTGGGAGTCAGCAATGTTTCTCTAATTACTTGAAGCCTAAGGATGAAAAACTCTGATATATACATAAAGATGTGATTTATAACCCAGGGAAGCCAACGTAATTTTGCTTTTTGAGGGTCTAGGCAGAGCTTGGTGGGCTTTCCGAGCACCATGTCTTAAAGGGGTCTGTGGGTTCAAACTACTCAGTTGTGTTCTCAGACAAAAATTTACTCAGAAGAAGATAACTATTGGTGTCTTTGGTCATGAAAACACAGTGTCACTGTGACCCTAAAAGTGGCCGTTGGGGAGTGTCCTCAGACAAAGGAGGGCTGACCATTAGGGGCAGATTCCATTTAGGATAATGGCGTAAGCTAAAACTCTTGTTTTTTGTCCATCATTTAAAGAGGATTCTAAAAAGCCATCTGGACCTGTTGACCTTGGACTTCTTACTCACCTTAAAATACTCCCAAGACAGGGAGCAGGTGTAGCACCTCATATGTCTTCTTCCACAGCGCCAAGCATGTAGTTCAAAGTCAGCCATACTTACCAAGTATCTGCTTCATGAAGGGACCAATTCTACCACTAGCTAGAAAATTTAGATTTGGAGAATGAGTGAGAGGGAAAGACTGATAAGAGTTAAAAATGGTAAATGGGATCTTGCTCAATAATAGTTAGGTTTGTTTGTGTAATTTTTTTTCATCTGATGCTGTCCATTTATGACTAATGAACCTTTCAGGCCTAAGTAATCTAAATTGATGATTCTCAATGTGATAAGCCAAGGTCAATAGAGTTATTTCAGGGGACTCCCCAAATCTGTATGTAAAGCAGATGGCGGCTGGAGATGTCTAAACAACATGTCTCTAACACATACACTCTTCTGTTTCTCACATATATTTAGGTATTTACATAGTAAAATGAAAATGCATTTAAGTGCATTCTGAATTAATAGGAACTATTTAGATTCTTTATCTATTCTTGTTTTAATTTTGGTAACTTATTTCCAAGTGCTTTCACATTGATTTCTTATTTAGTATTATATTAGCACATAAAGTAATGTTTTTCAGATAAGTGCTCCCAGGAGAAAAAGGAGGAAATCCTGGAAAGTGAAAAGCCCAGTGGACGCAATTCCAAGCAAGGAAAACGAGACGTGCAAGGTCAAGACCATGCCAGCTCCAGCCCTGTGCTCGCTGAGCCTGCCAAGATCACGGCCCTGTAAGGATCACTTACTTACTCAGCTTCGTGTTGGTGCAAAGCGTGAAGCAGCCTCATTTACTGGCTGCTGCTTTTAATGCTTTGTTAAGGATAAGGAAGAATTCCTAATGGTTTTTGAACCTTTTATGTATGTTAAGTTTTCAGGGCAATAGACAAAGACAGATAATCTACAGGGTCACTTCCCAACAAGATAGCTCTGTCTTGCAAGTCATCAGTGGGCCTGAAACATCTGTGCAAGACGAGATATCTGTGGATGCTATGCACGTCTTCATTGGTGAACATGGTGAGTCTTTAGAGCTCCTTACAAATGAGGAAGACAGGGCGAAACGGGCAGCTTTTTTGGGGTTCTATGCACTCACTCAGCCTAAGTACTAGACGTTAGAACAGGAAGGCCATGTCCTATGATTGTTCACATATAATGTTCTTAGAACACGCTCTTTCCTACCTTAGGGCCTTTGCACATACCACGTCCCTATGTTAACAATGTGCTATTTATCCATCGGATCTCAATTCTAAAGAAAGTTCTTCGGGACAAACCTTTCCTGAACTCCCCAGATATAATCAGGTTCTCATTTTTGCTGTCTGAACACCCTACCCTTTTCTTTCTTTGAGACTATTACAGCGTATAATTATTTGTTGACTTGTAATTATTTGATTAGTGGCATTTCCCCCCTCACAATTGTAAACTTCAGAAAGGCAGTGGCCAGCACCTAGTAAATATTTTTTGGATATATGCTGAAATACGACCTTGATATATTTTTAGTGCCTTGTTATGAAAAGGATTTAAAATGAAAGAAAGAAAGAAAGAAAGAAAGAAAGAAAGAAAGAAAGAAAGAAAGAAAGAAAAAGAAAGAAAAAGAGAAAGAAAAAGAAAATAGAAAGAAAGGAGGGAAGGAGGGAGGAAGGGAGGGATGGAAGGACAGGGGAGGGAGGAAAGGAGAAAAAAGGAAAGATCATTAAGTGGCAAGTTCAGAGTTCCACAGACAAAGGATAAGGTCCTAGTTTTTTGAGGGTGGGTCTTAAGTCCCTTATGGCTCAGCATGTCATTTTACTCTCAAAAAAATCCTGCTTTGGACAATAAGTCACATGGTACCTGATTATTAGAGCAGTAGTTGTAGTTTAAGTGCTTTTGAATCTGCAGAAGTCCAAAGAGACTTTTATGGTGTAAAGCACAACACCGTCCGAGCCTCCGGCTGCGGGGCAGTGGTTGCTGCTGTTAATGTGACCCTTGGTGGGAGGGACCTTAAGTAGGGGGTCCAGCCTCCAGCCTGCATTCCGGCTGCTCATAGCAGACAAGGTTAATTACATTCCTGTGCCACCTGAAGAAGGTATTTCTAAAGTCTCTTCTGGGAGAGACCGTGTACATTTACAGAGTGAACTGATTTTCACACCTCGATACCCAGAACCTCTTTAGCAGACTCATTTAACTGCAAATTAATTCCATCTCTTGCTTTTCCTCATTACCAGGCTGACACATCAGTCAGTGTGCTGTGCCACTGCTCAGCTGCAAATTGAAAGGTAGGGCCGCCCCACGTAGTGCACCAGTCAAAACCACACGCTTAATGAGCCTCTTTTTGCCAATGATACAAAAGAACACCCAATTCCAGCATATACAGATCAAACTGACGCATGAAGAGAATATACAAAAAATGCATTGAAGACAGTATATAAAAAGTGAATCAAGAGATGGTACAAATTAATCGATCAAAAGCAATTAAATGCTAAGTCACTTGTCTAAGTGTATCACAGAGAGGTATGGCAGGAAGATTTTTAGTTAAGTTACACGTTCTGTGGAGAAATATAAATTATGGACCTAGATTGCCAACGATTGTTATTAAAACAGTTCAAAACGAGTTCCCTCTAACTTGAAGAAAGCAGAGGCTGCAATGATCATATGCAAATAACGAGTATTTTTTGCTGAAATCTTGTGATTTTTGTAGGGGAAATTAGATCCTGTTATTTAAAGTCTGGCAATCAGAAAGAAGGCCCTATCCAGCCTCAGCCATCCGATTACGATGGATTCTCTCATGCTGGGTAAGTGAGCTGTGTTCTCAGGTCTGGGGGCTGTTGCGTTGCTGGGGGACATGCAACTTCTTCCGACTGTGAATGAAGCGACGCTCCTGGAGTGAATGTGTTAACCTGTTTGTAGGTGTCAACGCATGTGCTTTTGTGTGAAGGAAGATCTGACATTGTAGAACAATCAAAACGAAAACGGACCATTTGCATAGTAGCCACTTCCAAAGGTGAATAGTACCTGTGGTTTTAAACAGAGAGGAGCCCGGTGTACACAGCATTGCCCGTCCGCTAAGACGCAGATCTAAGTACATTATTACATTTTTTTATTTTTAAAAAATTTATGTGTTTGTTTATTTTACGTTATTAAATTTGCGCCAAGGAATGGATTAGAAATGTGCTTAGTTGTCATCTGCACTAATGAAGCCTGGCTGTTTTGTAGATAGATATTCTAAACATCTTTTCAGTTTTCCTTCAGAATGTATGACTAACTTTCTTAATTACGTTAGTTAAGTTGATATTAATTTAGCTTGCTTATGTGGCACATACACAGATTACTGGTGGCCTTGGAGAAGCTTGTAAGTCTTATCAGTGGCAGATCAGACTCATCATTCATCCTGGGCTTGAGGATTCTTTGAGGATAACCCACAGGGATAGGCCTCAGTTGCTTGCTCTAGGTGTGGAAGTAAATATTTCACGTACATTTCTTTACAATTGTATGTCTGTTTGAGGACTTATGGGAGACTTTTGTGGTATTTCTGGAATGCCTTAGGTGCATGCCTGGAGAGTATAAAGGAGCTATAGGAACCTTAATTCCAGATCCTGTGATTCCGTGTTCCTTCAAGGTCAAAGTTCCCTTACTGGGTTTGTATGGGAAATTCACGGGGAGCCTCCCGGGCGCCTGGAATAAAAGCTGTGCTTGTCCTTGTCTCTGTCCTTCGCCTCTGGTGGAATTCTGTCCTGGGCCAGCCTTTCAGGGTGCTCCCTCCTTGCTGCCACTGCCACTTCTCACCTACTTAGGAATGCTGCTGTCAGCCGCCCCGGTAGATCCGATGGGCACCACAGGCAATGGCTTCCTAGTCCCAACTGGGGCAGCTGCTGTATCCAGAACCACTTCAGGGGGAACAGTCATGTTCTCCATCACCCACATGCCTTCCACTCTTCCTCTGTCTCCCTCAGGAACCCACGTACCAATCAAAAAAGAGAAAGTTCCCCTCCTCCAGCCAAAAAGCATGAAAGACCCCATGCTCCAGCCTCTAGGATATTCTGTGCAGCGGTTTGATGAGTTTAGTCATTGAAGGTGGCAGCTTTCTCAGACAAAATGTTTAGTCACACATGAACACAGCTTTGAAAGCTGCCATATTATCCTGCAATCCTCAGTTGAAAGCTGTAATGATTTTAATTTAAATTTAGAACAAATATAAACCTCTTATTTTATCCCAAAATAAAGTTACACGACTTTTCCATTTTTATTTTTCTGGATAAATGTACTCCCCTTTCCCCTAGGTAAAGACTTAACTGCGTTTGCTGGTAATGATAATGCCAGTTAGCATAAGGCTACGTGTCCAGAGACTTAAAAAGCTACAATTATATAGCGTGCAGATAAGAATTAGAGAGCGGGCCCCACTTCCTTACGCCATGCCTCACCGAGAGCCGCCCGCTAACTCGTTCTCCCCTTAACTTCTCTCTTGATTAAGTTCCCTCCATTTCTTGTTTTCTTTGTTTCCCCTGCCTATCTTCCCATATCAGAGTGCCTTTCTCTTTAACCTGCCCTCTGTTTTGAGACCTGCCTGGGCTTTGGTTTGCCAGCCTGCATTTGCTGTCAGCGAAAGAGCTTCCTTCGAGGTTAGGGTGTGGCCTTGCTGGGGTGTTGGGGTGCCGACTGTGTTTATGCCGAGCTTTCCTGTGAGGCCGTGAGGGGAGTCCCAAAATGGCAGTCCCGCCCTAGCTCTGCCTTTTCATGCACGTAGAGCTGTTAGATCCTTCCTGCTGTTACACATCAGAGAAAGCCGGGTCAAACAGGCTACATCAACGTGGGGATTTTGGGGCCATGTGGCTGAGACATCTGTGGTCAGTGTCGTCAAGGGTGGTGTCTGTTTCTCCATCACGCTCCTCCTGTTCCGCTGTTTTGATACCACTCTCAGACACCTCACCGTGATGGTCAAAAGACTCCTGTAGCCGCCCCAGACGTTCTGTCCCCTCGTTCAAGTCCAGCGGGAGCAGCACACTTCTTTCCCATGAACCCCAGTGTACGTCTCATTGCGTCTGATTGATTCTGACCAGGCCACGTAGCCTGAGCCCAATCACCAAGGCAGGTACGTGGCTTGCATCTACGCACAGAGCTGGAATTGTGGGTTCCCTCTGAGATGGGGGTGACTCTTCAGCCAGACATTTGGAGTAGGGTGGATGGATGCTGGGCAGAAATCAACAGATGAGCCCTGAGGACGCTCTCTGGTAAAATGGCAATTGAATTAATTAACTGAGCTTCTTTAAAGAGAATTATGATCAAGTCTTGTAGAACAACTTGCCCCTTCAAGAAAAGCTTTATGTCACATCCCTGGTCGCCTTTAACATCTCCTGTGAACATTCTGACAGACCAGCCTTGGCCCACCAGCCTCATTGGTGCCAGCTTGCCAAGTTCGAAGTCTTTGAGCGCCTGCTCTGTCCCCAGGGTAACTTGATATAGTGTTGGTCCCAAGAGTTCTGGAAAATAATGGCACATAGCCAGTCATCTCTTCTCTTTCTAGTGCTTCTGAGATAAAATAAACACTATATTTGCTATTATTTATATAGCGTATTATTCGAGAGTAGACATGTCCTCTACTCCATCTTCCCTTTGAAGTAAGTTAGTCCTTTAGAGGAGACGCAGTTACAGGTGTTCTGGCAATTTAGTGGCCCATTGGGCACAGGAGATGTGCAGCGCTTCCTGCTTCGGGCATGAGCACAAAGCTCTCGTCACTACACTTAGCAAAACGATAGCACTGAAGCTGTTCCCCAGGCAGTTCTGGAAAAGCGGTTAAGGGGCGGCCATCTGTTTAATTGACGCTGTGAAAAGGGCTCAGTTCTATGCGGAGTCAGTGATCTGGATTTAAACTGCTGTCTGACAGGCTTTGATGGACATTCCGACAGCCCCAGATGCCTCCCCAGACTCGGAGACTTTAAAAGCTAGGCCACCCGTTCATGGGAGGCTAATTTCTTTGGATTTGTAACATGCCTCAGATTATCGTGAAAGCTCATGATGAAATGATTTGGGTATCTTTGAACTGCTTTCCTGAAAGAAAAAGTGTTGTAAAATCGGATAAAAGCAAGCAAGCTCGTTCAATTGAAATATTTTAATCCCTGAATTAACATACCTCTGCGTGTGTGTGTGTGTGTGTGTGTGTGTGTGTATGTGTGTCTGTGTGTCTATCTGTGTGTATCTGTGTGTCTGTCTCTGTGTGTGTGGGATGTTCACTATGACTTTATGTAGCAAGATACCCTGACATGAGGCCAGGCGGAAGCCTTCCTCTAGCACTTTTATGAGTCACTTTATGAGATGTTAAGGTGGTTAGTACTGTATTTCTTCCTGTTAACCAGGTGTTCCAACATTTTGGTCTCTATGGCAATTTTAGAGTAGGTACTTCAATATTATATCCTTGCCTTTTAATACCATTAAGTTGTGAGTTTTCCAACTATAGTAAACATCAACTTTGATTTCGAACTTGGAAGGATTCCTAGTTGGGGCTGATTCTAAGCCATTCAGCCATGGAAGATACTGGAAAAGCAGCCTTTTCCCTGTAAGGTGACTCAGTGGCTGGGATTGCCTCCAACTAGGCCATTAAAACACCGATTCTTCTCATTGGCCAGAAAGCCATTCCCCTACCCCATTGTCATTGTTAAGCCTGGTTGCCATGTGACAGTTTTATGTCCCTGACTCCCAAGTATGAATAGGGAATTGTTTGCAGTGTAACTTCCATGTCTCTTTGGGGATTCTTGGAGGAAACCAGGAGAGGAAACAATTTTCCCTCGTTGGCCCCGCTGTCAGTGTGGGAACCAATACGTTTCTCACGAGCTGCCAAAGAAACAGAAGCAGCATTTTCCGGTTGTACAATGGCTGTCCGTTAATAGGTACCATAGGTAACATTATCTAACCGAGTTCTGTTTCCACCAGAAGCTAGAATGAAGGAGCGATGGCTTGAATTGCAGCGTTAGGATTGCTACTTGGAAGAATGTGCAGAGGATAAATTCACTTCAGTGTCTCATTATCCAGGACACAGGGTTGATTCAGTTGCTCGGAGTCGAAAATGAGCTCATCTAGAAGGTGGAAGTTACTGATCTGCCTAGAAAATCGAAGTTGAAGTGGTCTGTCTGGCTGGAGAGTTGGGGGGTTTTTATGTGTCCAAAGAGTTCATTTTGGAGCGGACTTTGTAATTTCTCCTGTAGGTCTTGCAATTAAAGCTTTGCGGTTTCTTGATTTTTTTTTTCTTTCTGCTCAGCAAAGGTTTACATTTCTCTTGTCTATAAATGCTTCCAAGTCACGTGGCAGAGCTGCTTCTGTGGGAGATATATAGTCAGACTTCAGAATTAATCCAGCTTTTCCAGCGTCATAAGCAGTCTAATGAAAATGCATAGAAGATGTATACCGTGTGCTCTCCAGGGAAATCCGATGGGAAGACATAGGATCCGCCTGTACTTTGAGCGTCTGTCACTCACAAAGTAGGCATGTCGTCGACCGAATGAAGACGCATTCTCGGGCAAATTTGTTTCCAGTTTTTTAATTGGGGAATTCTGTACCTCAGCTTGGTTTTATTTAAAAAGTTGAGTAGGTTGGGTAATAATGTATTTATTTATCTGAAGTCACTTATTTTTGGCTTTTGTGTATGAATCACTGTACTACATATTGAAGCAGATATTATTCTGGTTATAAATTTGGCTTATGTTTGAAAGCTGCCCTAAATCTCTAAGCCAACCCATGGTGTGTGCTTCACACTGAAGCCTGCGCTTAGTCTTGGCTGCCTCCTCAGAATTCTTGCTCTTTTGTTGACATTATCAGCCTCCATGACCCCTATCTCAATAACTTCCCTTATTATTGGGATCAACTCCCAGGAAAGCCCTTTAAAGCCATAATGCTTAAGCATGTGCCTGGTTCCCAAAGAAGGTAAACAGGCAGAAAATCACACAAAAAAATCTCTTTTCAGCTCTCTTTTTTGCATTGGTCAGAAGTACTAGTGATCCCAGGTTTGGAATAGCTGAGCCAGAATGGTGGGCACTGAAGTTAGTCAGCTGGGTCTTCAAATTGTAGAGTAAAATGTGATTTCCCCCAGTGTTAGATATGCCCAGTTCTATCCCCTTCAAGTACAAGTTGAAAACTCCAGCCCTAATTATAAGTATCTAAGAGGGTGTGTAGAGCTGCGTCACTGTTGACTTGCACTATAGAGAGTTGTATGTTACTGCTTTATTTATTTTTTTTTTTAGCTGAGCCATCCTGCTACCTATTGGCAGCTTAGCGGCTGCTCAGCTCGGGCTGGACTCGAACCGCTGTTGCTCAGAGCTCAAACTCTTGAGCAAGCTCTTAACCAACTGAGCCACTCGGCCGGCCCTATATGTTACTGCTTTAGATTAAAGAATTTCTGTGGGTTCTTGGTGCCTTTGGTCACACGGGTGGAAGTGATCTGGAAGAAGTAGATGACCATCCAGAGCTTCGCCCGTGAAGGGCTTCTGCCATTCCAAGTTGCTGTGCCTGTCCTTCTGTTTTTCAGGTGTCACTCTCGGCCCCTTCCATTGTAGTCCTCATTTGGTTTTCTCAGACACGTTAGAGAGAGATTAGGTGTCCATCTAGGCAGAGAGTCATAAAGACAGAAGGTATATGAGGTTGATTCTATTAATAGAAAGACTTCTGTTCTCTGAGACGCCTTCTGACTCCCTGGGAAGAAGCCCTGTGACGCAGTGGGGCTCTGCTTTCGTGGTCATAGCCCTGACTGCCACACGGTGGCACTCAGACCCCGTGCTGGAGGCCCTGGCTGGCTCCCACTCGGATGTCTCTTTATCTCAAATGCACAGATGAATTTTGCTGTCATATAAAAGGAGAGTTGTTTGCAGACTTTAAAACAAGAGTCGCTGTGAAAATTCTAAATAACAGGCTGTAGTTTTCAAAACAGGGCTGCTTTATTTAAATATCCTACATACTGAACGTGTTGCTGTGACTTTCACTTCCAGGCTGCCCTCTGGGTGGCTTGTTCCCATGTCCCCTGAGTAACTTGAAAACTAAGGCAGGATTGGCAGAAAAAGGGAGGCCCTTTCCTTCCAGCTCCTGGGCTATACTTTTTGAGATCTGGGGAAGATGAAGAATTTCAGGAATTTATTTCCACATCAGTGGAAAATTTAAAAGCACAAGTATTTTGATTATTTGTTACTTGTAGGCGCTTAGATGAATGAAAGCCTGGGGAGTACAGTATGGTGGATTATTGTCACCCTCAATGGGATTATTGTCTGCCCATACAAAAGTGCACCATTCCGTCCCAGACCAGAGTCTAGCCCCCTGTTTATCTTTATTTCCTTTTACTGGCTGCTCTTTTTGTGGTTTCCACCATTAATTGCCATTTCTGCTGTTGCTCTGAGCTCAATCTATTGTAGTTTAAATCAACTTACCTATGCTATAACCATGAAGAAAGCTAGTTTGCCAAAGATTAACCAGAGAACAGGCTAATCAAGACCAGATGTGCGCATGGCGCTGTGTCACGTGCAGAGCGTCGCCGTGTCATGTGCAGTGCGTCACCATGTCGCATGCAGAACATTGCCGTGTCGCGTGCTGAGTGTCACCATGTCGTGTGCAGAGCGTTGCTGTGTCGCGTGCAGAGTGTCACCATGTCGCGTGCTGAGTGTCGCTGTGTTGTGTGCAGAGTGTACGGGCTTGGAGTATTTCCATTTCCATTACTATTTTACAGGAGGAAATGTCTCCTGAAACTTAGCACTTTCACATTATATTTATTAATGTGGGAGTATCTTTGGCCTTAAGTTAATAAAGCAGACTTTTAGATGATGATGCAGCTCACAGTCCATAGCTAAAAGAGGGAGAAGGAGCAACAAATAGTCTGAGACGAGATACAAGTAAAAGAAGATAGGGAGGCGCTCTTCACAGGTTGGTAGGAAGACTCCTGTGCGCCATGATGTTTGTGACGTTGTAGCCTCTTGGTTCTTGCGTGGACAGGCTGGTGCCTTGGCCATCAGGCCCCCAGAGAGCTGTATCTCAGGAAGGAGTAAGTCTCTGTCAGCTGAGTGATGCTTCCTGTAGCGTTTATTGGGCTCCTGCTGGCCCAACAGGAAGCTCTCTGCACATGACAATACAGGTTTTCTGGTGAGGACATACTAGTCAGACAGCTCAGACGAGAATCTTTCTTAATATCCTCATGCCTTGTCTGGAATACGCAGCTCTTGTAAAAGAGGTTAGTGAAGAGGGAACTTAATGTGCTGTTTGAGCCTGTCTTCATAAAATAAAAAGAATTAGGTTTGAGTTGAGGGCAAAACACTCTTCCCCCATTCCTGCCAATAGAGACAACTAGAATTCATGTGTTATTTGTGTGAAAAGCATAGGAGTCCATGTGGCTGTTTAGTATGAGAATAAGCAAAGTCAGGTCCTATGTCAACGGAAGGAGATAAAAAGGTTGTGTGTGGCTGTTCAGCATCTAATATCTCAGGGGTGCCATTTGGTGTTTTATGTACCTGATTTGATTTAATTCTCACAGCGAGCCCTGTGGGCATCTTCCTTCATTTACAGACGAGGATTTGAGGTAGGAGGACAACATGCTTATTGTAAGTAGTACAGTGAATATTCAAGCCTAGCTCTGTTTAATTCTAGATTTCATCTGAAAGAGTTTGAAAACAAAACCAAGCCGTAGGTTTTTACGTAGGATTTTTAGATGGCTTGTATAAGAAAATAATGTCATTTATGATTATTATTTTGCAATCAGAAACATGCCAAGTACCATGCAGAAATTAAGCTGGGGTGTCATGGACCCTTCCATTGGTGTCATGTTTCCCCGCAGGAGGCACCAGCAGGAGAGGGGTGGCTCTGATGCAGATGCATAGCCCTGCCTTCCTCCTCACAGGAGTCAATTCTAGTTTGTTTCCGTGGCAACAGAGAGCGCTGTACTCTTTCTAGATCTTCTCACAGAAGCACACATTTCCATCCCACAGCTGCCTGTTCACAGTCATCACCTACATCACCTACAGTGAAGTCAGATTAGTCTTTTGGTTTTAGCGACGTTCTGCCATTTGCGGAGTTTTAGATTTTTCTGAATGTGTATTAACAAGACATTCTCAATCCTACTGTATTTCACTCTGAGATGACAGAGTACAATGGTCAGTGGTTTCTGTACAAAGCAGAAACTTTAACATGAACGTCTTTATAAAATCTGTTTTCTTGTTGGTACTGAAGGTTTTATACCACGAATACAGACAATATAGACCAGAAGCAAAAGCACTGTTTACGAACAATCATCCATATAACAGAAGGAGAGAGTTGTTAACCCACCTGATTTGTTTCTTAAACCCTGACTTAACATATGATGTTTCCTAAATGGTCCTTTGCAAGGGGGACTTTACTGAATGTATCATCAAATAGTAATGAATGACATCTGAAACAAATGTAGAGACATCCGTGTGTGTGTGTGTGTGTGTGTGTGTGTGTGTGTGTGTAAGAATAGTGGAAATATTTTAAGTGCTGTTCCTATGGACTTTTTGTATATTTTTGCATACATCAGTAGGGAGTTAGAAACAGGAAAGATCCAGAAACTTGCCCGAGACGTAATGAAATGTGCAGTTAGAAATCATTGCTGTAGCATCTGCATTCTTGAGGTGGTTTGGGCTACAAGTAACGTAAGACCCAAACTCAAAATGTGTTAAATAATAACGAGGTGTGTTATTTCAGAAAATGGGAGTCCAAAGGTATGGTCAGTGCACGGTTGGTTGGTCATCGCGAAGCCAGTGTCGGCATCTCTCACCTCTGCTGTCCTCAGGGCTCCGTCTGTCCTCAGGCTTGTCCCTCATGATGACAGTGTGGCTGCCGCGGCTTCCAGTGTTTCTTACTCACAGAGCAGCTAAAAGCCCAGGGAAAGATGGCCTCTTACTTTTATTACCTTTTAAGTAGCAGAAAAACTTGTCCTTCTCCTTATCCGACTGGACTGTGCTCCACGGTGGCCTCTTAGAATAGCGTTACACTCCGGTTCCAAAACCAGGCACTGGTCAGGGTGAATGGAGGTACCTGTGGGTGGAGAGTGACCAGGACTTACCGCTGGCACTCGGGAAGGACCTGTCTGTCTCCCTGAGCACACGGTCTTAGATGATTGAATGAACTGGAGTTATGTCAGCAAGAGTTCTGTTAGAAAGGACTGGAGGTTGGGCACCCTGCCTGCTGGAAAAGCAGGTGGGAAGTGGTTCCTCATTTTTTGCTTTCTGAGCCACAGGAAAGATGCCAGGCTTGGACTTGCTTCAGGAGTTCTGTTCACATAAGTCCTGTCAATTTATAGGCGATTGAAGACAATACAACCATTTCAATGAAGAGCACAGCTGATTTAATAATGTCCTGTTTCAGTTACCAGAAGCATTTCTTTTCCCTAGTGTGACCTTTCTTTGCTTAGGGCGGAGATGGGCGCGCCAGGAGGTAGCAGACGTGTTTGATGACCACTCCTTCTTCCTGATGGGTGTCTTAAGAATTTTCCAGCCCACTATTTATTGTCTTCATAAAGTATGAGGCTGGAAACTGTTGCCACCACCGCCCCACCCATTAAATAATACAGAGTAGTAAGGTGGTCCCCTCTAGAACACCAGGCACCTGCCTATCTACCCCCGTGGCACGCGCAGCTCCGAACAGCCTGAATAATTTGTGCGCGTGCAAGATGACTGCCCTTCTGCTGGAAGGTAGCTCGGGCACATGATTTTCAGCTCCCAAGAGCTTGGGGATCCGAGTGCTCTGGTGCTTGTGTGTGATGAATAGGTGACTTCCATACCTCCCGGTAACCGAGCCTCTGTTTGCCCATCCTCAGAGAGATGCACAGCAGCTCTGCCAGCACCACCAGCTCTGACAGTCCAGATCCTTCTTCCGGGGACCATGCAGTCAGCGCGCTTCAGCAGCAGCTGTTACTCCTGGTGGCTCGGAGGACCCAGCCGGAGACCCCGCGGGTATGTTCTAGCATCATTGCGAATGTTCCAGAAGCAGCGATCTTGATACCTGTTTGCAAGTTGGATTAGGTAACAGCATTATCAGGGCTTGCCCTGAATTCTGACGACACTGGGTTGTGGATATGTGACTGCATGGTCGTCTGTCTACTGAACAAATGTGAAAATGAACCATTTAGATAACAGGTACCCTTGTGTGGATACCAGCAGGACGAACACTGTCTCAATTGCCTTTCCAAACGCAGTGTAGAAATTCATTTACATTGATATTTGGGTGCTGGGATGCACAAATCCCGTGAGAGCTCACTTGGTTAGGATGCTAAGCTTTTTTGTTTCCCATGGTTTAGAAAATATCTGGGTTTCTGTTAATTTATTATGGCCTATCTATTAAGCATGCAGAGAGTCTTAAAGATAAATGTTGGATTTGGGAGACTTTGTTCTTGGATGAAATGCCATTATCAATGAGGAGCGTACAATATGAAGCTCCCCATTATTTCACCAGGAGGGAACTCACTCATACCCTCAGGGAGACTTGTGGGAGGCAGAGCAAAGGTGACATGGGGGTAAGACACAGCCATGAGCTCAGAGCTGTGGATTCAGTCCTGGGCCCTTGGGAGACAGAGTGTGGAAAGGGTTCCCTAGAGGACAGGACACGGGTCACGACACCAAGAAAGGTGGATCTCAGTTGGTGCAGCTGGGTGAGAGGGTTATAATGGGACACTGTCAGGTCAGGTGAAGTTCCTTTATAGTCCTGTTTACCTTCCTCCTGGCAGTGTTTTGATTTCTTCTAGAGAATCTCATGAGAAAATAATACAGTTTTATTATGATTGTTTAATCAAATTTTTCCAAAAGGTGCTTGATAGTATAATGGGTTGCATGTATACACTGTTAGTCAGATGTGTGAAAAAATGTCGTGTTGTCTTCTAGCTGAGCGCGTGCTGCTCTGGGGGCCCATTCCTGCTGACTAGGTGGGAGTGGGGCTGGTAGGAGGGACGGCAAAGTGCCAGGAAAGGTAATGCAGCCCTGTCAGGCTTGAAGGAGTTTCGGTGGCAACAAGCTTTCCGTTAATTCAAAGACTCAGTCTTCAGAGCTATTTCTCCCCTTCCTTGTATTCACTCTCACCTCCCGCTCCTCCTGCCCGGGATCTCTGGGTGCAGGAAGCTTTCCTAGACCCACAGAGGCAAGTGGAGGTGAGTGGGTGCCTCTGGTGGCCCAGCCTGGTCACCAGGCATACTGCGTGGTGCCTGCCAAGGGGCGGCTGCGCCTGTCTAGTTAGGGTGGAGTAATGGGGTCTGTGACCCTGCCATTAGTTCTCAGCTCTGAGGGCCCTGTATTCTCTGCCTCCTCCCCCCGACCAGAGTCGTGGGGTCTCATCAATCTTTCCTGTAGCTCCATGCGCTCCTGTGCGCTGGGACCCCAGCCGCATCCTCCACACTCCATGCCCTGTGCCCAGCCCTTACCTCAGCTACCACTACCAGTGTCCCCACAAGCTGCAGTGCACGTGGGTTTTCCCTGAGAAACATGCATTTTCCCTGACACAGGGAAAATGTGTGTGCACTGAATGAAGTAGCCCGGGGGGTGGGTCCCAGTAGGGCTGGTCCACTTCTTTTTATATTAGGCCAACAAAGCACAATGTGGGAAGTTTAAGCACTTAACCTGGGGCCCCAAGAAGCGGCGCCCTACTGTTAGAAGTAACTGAACACGCTCTACCATCACCACCCCCACTGGCCGACTGGAGAACTGCCTGCCTCAAATCTCTGTGTTGGTGAAGGAGGCAGAAACCTCTCTTAAGACTTAGTAACCTCAAGATAACTTCCATGGGGGTTTGTAGCCCTTATTTATAAGACGTGGAGGGTCCAAACACCTCAAACCAAAATTTTGTTTTAAAATGGTACCAGGTTGGCATTGCCTCCAAGTACCTCCCAAAAACTAGGGTGAATTTTAATGTGGAAGAATAAAGCTTTGATATTGCTCTCAAAGACTTCATACTAATAAAGATCCAAGGAAAATCAGATTACGTGAAAAGTCATAAAATATACTAGGAAACACGCCACCATGAATAAGAGCCAGCAAAGTCAACAGAAAGCACGGACTCTCAATGAATTAGAAAACGTAATGATCGTAGTCAGAATATGGACCCAGTAGTTCTAATATGTATAAAGAAACTACAAGAGATTGAAAATATAAGAACCAAAAGGCCATATAATGAATGACCAGGCAGATCTGGAAAAGCACCAAATACTAGAAATGAAAAATATAATAATGAAAATAAAACTTGGAAGGATTTAACAGGAAATTTGATACAATTAGAGTAGAGATACAATTAAAGTAGAGAATTGGTAAACTGGAAGTTAGAGCTGAAGAAATTCTTTAGATGTAGCACAGAGAGACCAAGAGAAAAATAGGAAAGGAGGTTAAGAAGTGTGGAGGTCATACTCCTCATCAAAAACCCGGGAGAAGATGGAGGAAAGAAGAGGGTAACAGAAGAATCATCAAGAAATTAAAGGCTGGGATAACACACGGATATAGACAATGCTATCCTGGTAACCTGATGAGGAAAGGATGTGCATTTTTATAATTGGCACTGCAACAATAGGTTTGCTTATGAGAAAGAAAATGGACCCCTATCCCTACCTCATGTACAAAAATTCCTGGAAGACTAATAATTGTCAGAGGCAAAACTATACAACTTCAAGAATGATGGTAAAATCAAATATTCTTAAAACTGGGGGATCAATAGGGTTTGCATAAACAAGGCACAAAAATTGCAAAAATTTTTGTAGAAAATATGGATAAATTTCATTTTATTTAAATTAAGAATATCTATTAATAACACCATAAAGAAAATGAAAAAAGAAGCCATAAACTGGGAAAATATCTATAATTCATATCACTAATAAAGATTTTGATTGTAATATGTGCATACATATGAGTATATGTATATACACACACATGCATACAGATGCACACATACCCATCCATATGTATGCATACATATGCATGTGCACACACACACACACACGTGCACATACATACATGCACACCATGCACATACTTGTACACACGCACACTTGCATATACATACACATGCATGCACATACATACACACACATACACATACAGAAACTAATGAAATACAAACAAGAGACCCAATTGAGAAAAGGGCAGATGATTTCATGAAGAAAAACTAAAAGTGGACAAAGATACTCAGCTTCATTAATATTGAGGGAAGTGCAAAATAGAATATTAATGAACCATCACCTTATACTTACCAGACAAGCAAAAATTAAAATGACTGGACACTGTCAAATGGCGGTGAGGGTGGACCAGGCAGCATTTATAAGCTGTTGGTGAGAGTGGAAGCTGGTAGAGTCACTTTAGAGAACTTACTTTTTTCTAAAGCGTTTTCTAATAAATTTAACATTTCCATAATTCCATTGCCACAGTTATTCCATTTGTGGCAAATGTGTGCATTTCCTGGAAAAGTCAGTTTGTTTCCTGGTACAGTTGAATATTTGCATTCCCAGCTATTCTATTCTTAGGTGTATATTCTAAAGAAATTCTTGCACATATGTACCAGGAGACATGTCCAAGAATGTTTATAGCAGCATGGTAGCAAAAACATTGAAAGAAAAAAACCCCTAAATATTCAATGGTAAAATGGATAGGTAAATTACCTTGTATCCCTATCATGGAATATTATACAACTGTGAAAACGGATGTTGCAGCTACAAAACAGCATGTTCTCAGCCTCAGGAACGTAATGTGGAATGGAGGGAAAAAAGCAAGTTACAAAAGGATGGATACATCTGATATGAGTTTATACCTATGAAGTTCAAAACCATGAAACTAAACAATACAGAAGTTTTGGATAAAAGAATAGTAAAACTTAAGAAAAAAAAGGGAATGATGAACACAAAATTCAGGACAGTTGGGAGCTCAGCTGGAGGAGGGGAGACGGTGAGATTCAGGAGGGGCCCACAGGGGACCTCTGTGCCAACAGTCATGCGTTTTTCCTCACACTGGGTGGTGGCCACACAGGTCTTCATTGACTAATTGTTCTTTACACCTCACACACATTTAAAATGTAAATGTTTGCATTAACTCAACACTTAATAAAACTCTGGTTTTTAAAAAGCAAGGTACCTGGTGTCTTTTGATGTAGTCACCTACCCAGTGACTTTTGGGTCCTTGTCTCTCACTGGTGCTGCAGGTGAACACAAGTGCACCTGACCTCACAGGAAGTTCAAGTGCACCCTCTGGACTGTGTTTAAAGCATGAGAAGGTAAAACTGCACATTTTTGGAAGATGACTATGACAGAGGTCAATATTAAATACATAAGATTTAAAGTGTAATCTTTAGCGAGAAATTTAGCAATATGGAACATTTTATTCCTCATTGACAATGAATAAATGAGGTAATTATTAATTGATACTTAGTTGCCAGTGTAGTCTCTGGAAATGCCATAACCGGCTGTTTGAACTACTTCTGTTTCAAATACGGAGTCAGGTGTCAGAAGGTATAGATGTGATTCCTTTCTTCTTCAGTTCTGTCCTCAGCGTTACCCCACCTGCAGGTCCCTTCCAGGTCCATGTCTCCTCTGCTTTGTAGGTGTGGGGTCCAGCTCTCGTTTCGGTTGGGTAGTGCTGGGGCCTGCCCTGCATTCAGGGGTTTTGAGTCTGTGTGACCGTTATGATGTCTAAGGGATGTTTTCTTACAGGCGTTAGAACGCCGGGGACAGAGTCCACCGTGTTCTTTTGGTTTTCCTATCCCAACCTGGTGCCAGGCTCATAAGTCACTCATTAAGTGTTTGTTAGATAAATCAATGAGACTTATTCTTTTATTTCAAAATTGAACTCTCCTCCACTGGATTAGAGCCAATCTTTGACGAATTTGGGCTTAAAACATTTTAAACCTGAGCTTAAATTTCCCCACCTATTTCTACTTTATTGGCTTAGAATTTTTTCTATAAATATTTCAGTGTTTTCTTATATCGAGCCACCAATGGCCTACATATTGGCAATGAAAATCTTTTTACTCTTAGTAAAATTTGAGTATTTATCTCAACATCACATTAAATAGCATACTTCACAAATTGTCATTTATTTTGTTGAATTCTGATCTTTCATAATAATTATTTTCATGGCAGTTTCTAGGCCTTAATTAACAGTGTTTTGATATGATGAGTAGCATAATCTTAATAGTATATTGTAATGGAAGTGAAGTCTATTGGCAGGAAAGACCCTTTTTGTTGATCATTATCCTTTTCTTAGAGTACCCATTTTTACGAAATACGCTGGCTTGCATTGCATGCTCTTTGGACTTTTAAATTACGAGGTATATTTATGGCAATAACCCGTCAGTATGAAACCCTCTCCCTTGTTTCTTTTGGTCTCTCACAGCATCTGAGTCAGGATCTGGAAGATTCGTCATGCTCCTCAATGCAAGGGAAATTGAACCGAGAGCAGTTTTACAAGTTTATCATTTTCCCCGGCAAGTGGATTAAAGTCTGGTATGACCGGCTCACCTTGCTGGCGTTACTTGATCGGTAAGCCACTGAGCGTGCAGATATCCACTGAAAGACACTGGGGGTGGGCAGCATGCGCGTGCGTGCGTTTCTCAGGGGAAGGCTGCTGCACGGAGGCGCTCGGGACCATTTTCATGTTGTACACCTTTGTGCTGCAGAGTCAAAGTCAAAGCAGTAAGATGCCGATAGCTGTAGAAATGGTCGTTTAGCAATTGAAATGGAGCATTGAGAGTTGGATAGGTGATTTAGGTGTAAGGTTGGGTTTGGAGACAACACCGTACATTGGTGTTGGTCTCCTGACAGCTGGCCATGCGTTTTCAGCCAAGCTCGAGGCTCTGCGTGTAGCACAGGGCCTGGCCTGACTGGGCGCGGGCCGAGGGAGACGAGGGAAGAGGAAGTGAGCAATGTCTGCCTCTTCCCTTTGACAACTCGGACTCTGCTGCTCACCGGTCTGATGGACGCCCATTGGAATGACCATCTTTCCTGTATACTCTTTTCCTCCTTCTCACCGCCAAAAAGGTGTGGGTTGGAGATGTGGTTCCTGGGAGGGGAGGGGCTGGAGGAGGGCCAAGTTGGTTAAGGCATGATGGAGAGGGGGCCAGGTGGGGGACTCCCCACTTCCATCCCCCCTCCTAAAGAGACAGAAAGGACGGGATTATGATCTTTAGGGGCTGGGCAGTTCTGACTAGAGTGCTGTTTGGAAAATTGAAGCTGCTGTTACTGACACGTTCATCAGCCAATGCTGAGTGTCACAGTTAAGTGTCAGCCGGGATGGGGCGGGGAGTGGGCAGGCTGGTTACCTGCCTGGCTGTAGTTGGTCCCCCAGTGACTACTTGTTATAGTAATGTTTTAAATGGTGTGATCCCATACTCCAAAACTACAGTCATGCAAAATTACAACAGTAAATTTTAGGACCCACAAGTCAGGTAATGGAGTTCTAATGTCTTTTCTGACAACACTATGTTACCCGAGGGGCACACTCTTAAGATGAGTGTTTCATCCTTAACTAAAATAATTCAACAGAATACATTCTGTTAGGTGAGGCAGTTTTTTGAAATATATATCTTTTTATGTTAAAAAGGAATTATTGAAATTGCACCAGCTAGTGTTGATGGTGGGGGAGGGTGGTGTGCACGTGTGGGGGAGGGGCAGTCTCGAACTGCGCTTTCTCTTCAATTTTGCTGTGAATCTAAAGCTTCTCTGAACAATAAGTCTATTAATTAAAACAAAATAATATTCAAGAGTGCCTACATGCCAGGAATGAAGTAGCCAACTGTCTCTGTCTGAAAATGATCATAACTTAATGGGAGAGACCAATATGTACATGAGCAAAAGCTGGTGAGGTGAGAAGTATACTAGAATCCTTGAGCATGACCCATGTGTACTCCTGACCTTGTGGTCCACACCATCCTCCTTACTCCATGCCAGCCCCTCCCTCTCGTAACTCTGCCGCGCATCTTGTCTTCCCACGGCCGTCTTCCTCCTCCTAAGACGTATATGCTCTCAGCCTCTGCTCATCCTCCATGTCCCCTCGAATGCCCTCACATGTTCCCAAACCATTGCTAGCACTTTGACCCGCCCATTCCCACCCACCCAGCAGCCCTGCCTGGCCTCGTGGCCTCCCATCCTACTTAGGCTCTGTGTTCCAGCCCTCAGCCCCTTTGTGTCAGCATCCTAAACTCCCCCACTTGTCCCTCTGCACACGCAATGACAATGAGCCGCCTCTGGGTGAGCCCACCTCTGCCCCACACCTCGTATGCGGAGTTCTCCTGGAGAAAACCAGCCAATGGGCCTGGTCACGACACACCTCAGTGAGACCCTCTGCATTGTCGGCTCTTCAGCTGGCGTGCTCCAGGCTCCTGAAACTGCGTGGCACATGCTGGCTACAGAGAGAGTGTGTGTGGGAACCATTTCCTGCCTCAGCCAGGTGTCGACGTACCCTCCCCATTTGAAGGAGCGAGTGGAACTCTGTCTGAGATGCATTTCACTCTTGTGGATGGAATAGTTAAATGCTTTCCTCCAGTAAACCTGGCTTAATGGCCAAGGAGACCCAATGGGATTATATTGTCTTTGTTTCAATAACAGAAATCTGGGGTTAAAATATAGATCTTGTTTATAAAATGCAGGAAGAAGGAAGGAAAGAAACCTCAAAATCTTGTTACCAGCTATAAAGGCGTGCTCAGGGGAACCATCTGCCGTCACCATCAGCCTTTTTAGAAACACGGAGGATTCTCTGTTTCAAAATAGACAGACTTACTTCTGTTTCCTTCGTTTTTATGTTTATTTTGCACAGAACCGAAGACGTCAAGGAAAATGTGCTGGCGGTCTCGGTCATCGTCCTGGTGTCCCTGCTCGGATTTCTGACCCTGAGTCGGGGCTTCTGCACAGACCTGTGGGTGCTCCTCTTCTGCCTGGTCATGGCCAGCTGCCAGTACTCCCTGCTCAAGGCAAGGCGCGTCTCATTCTTACATCACTAGGGTAGCCTTGCAATCATGAGATGATGACACACACACTTCTGATTTTGTTCTAGAGCGTCCAGCCTGACCCCGCCTCGCCAATCCATGTAAGTTCCTAGTAAGACGGGTAGCTTGTCTGCTTGTGTTGAAGATAGGGGCATGGCCAAAATCTATTCAAAAGGCAAATACACACACACACACACACACACACACACACACACACACACACACACAAACATACAGGGTGCCAAAAAATGTATATGCATTTTGAGAAAGGAAAACTGTATTAAAATTGTAATACTCAATATATACCAATAAAAAAAGATGAATACAAATCACATTTGACTTCTGCACATATAAGAGGTGCTTAAAGTGGTTACCATCAACATCCAGACACTTCTGATTATGGTGAACTACTGTTTGAGCAACGTTGACCAAAGTGTCCACTTGTATACACTTTTTTGGCACCCCCTGGCACTCCCGGTGTGTGTGTGTGTGTGTGTGTGTATGTATGAATATAAGTTCAGACAATTAAGTTCGCGAACTCATCCTAGAAAAAGTACTACATACCTCATTGCTGAATATCACTATAGTCACCTTCGAAGTACTCCCCTTGGGAAGCTATGCACCGATGCCAGCGCCTAGTCCACCCTTCAGAGCAATTTTGGAACTCTTTTTCTGGAATGGCCATCTGAGCTGTCTTCGTAATACCCTTGATGTCCTGAATGTCATCCAAATGCCTTCTTTCAGTATTTCCTTTATCTTTGGGTAAAGAAAGAAGTCATTGGGGGCCAGATCAGGTGAGTAGGGAGGGTGTTCCAATACAGTTATTCGTTTACTGGCTTAAAACTCCCTCACAGACAGTGCTGTGTGAGCTGGTGCATTGTCGTCATGCAAGAGCCATGAATTGTTGGTGAAAAGTTCAGGTCGTCTAACTTTTTCACGCAGCCTTTTTTGGAACTTCCAAATAGTAAACTTGGTTAACTGTCCAGTTGGTACAAATTCATAATGAATAATCTCTCTGATATCAATAAAGGTTAGCAACATCGTTACAAGTTCGCAAACTTAATTGCCAGACTTCCTCTGTGTGTGTGTGTGTGTGTGTGTGTGTGTGTGTGTGTGTGGAGAGAGAGAGAGAGAGAGAGAGAGAGAGAGAGAGAGAGAGAGGAGAGAGCGACTATAAATAGAAATATTGGGTTGTCGGAAAAGTCATGACGCATTTTTGCAATGAAAACAGAAAAAAATACGTCATGACTTTTCCGACAACCCAATATTAACACATGGTGGCCAATTTCAGGCTGGATCTGAGAGCATGGCATGGAGGGTAGTGGGCGAATGTACAGGGTGCATGCAAAGAGTGTGTGGAGGGTCTTTTCTGTCCCACTGGACTCGTGTCAGGAAAGACTGCAGCCTGGTGGGGACGAGTACAGACTCTGCAGTCAGACTGCCTGCGTTTGTTTCCTGGGTTCTCCTCTTGAACAATGAATCCTTACTAAGATGTGCACTGTCCATGCCTCAGTTTCCCTGAGTGTAAATAAAGTCATAAAAATGCCTATGGGGATTAATCCATGTGATGCACTTAAAAGAGTACCGGGCACATAGACATTGTTTAAGAAATGGCAGTTCTTATTATTGCTGTTCCCAGTTATGTAAGCACGCATCGCCATTCTTTGATGTGAAGCTGATCTCTTCCTATTCCACATTTTCAAGTGTATCATTGCCTTTTATCCCCATAACTTTGGGTTAGTTTAGAACTCTGGGCTCCCTGGGCCCCCCAGCAGTGGCCTGTTGGTGCTCTGACATTTGACGGGCTCAGGAGCACGCCCAGTTCCCAGGAGCGTGCACCTCCCCTCGCGGTGCTGTGGGACAGAGCCTGGCACTGTCCCCACCGATACCTGGCCTCTGTGCTGAGACTTCCCAGCTCTTTGAGAAACCTTCCTCCCTTTGTTATGGTGAGCTCCTGTGGGTTCCCGAAAAATCCTTTCAGTGAAAGAAAGCTTGGCCTTCCCTCTATTGTGCTTTTCAAAAATTCATATCCAGGATTTAGGACTGCTTTTAAATCTCTGGTAGCTCAGGTTTAGTTCATAGTAATTAAGGAAAGCTTATAATTGGACGATCACATGGCACACATCGCTATCTTGTTAAATTCCTCTGTTCCCCATAATTGGTTTACGTATAATACATCTTCCTTTATCCCAGACTCTAAGTGTCAAGATAAGTGGAAGCAGCATAATTAGAGTATTAAGATGTATTGTTGTGATTATAGGCAGAAATCTTGGGAGTAGAGATGTGCAGCTCCAAAAGGTTTTGTTGGAGCCCATCCTAGATGCCACACCACTGTCCTGCTTCAGGGAGCAAACCCTCCTTTCTAGTGCCACTTCAATGTCACTGTTTTCTGGCTGACTGGGGGAGGGGTGTTATATGCTGTGAAGCATTCATTTTCTGTGTGTTCTCTCAGGAGTATTGCCAGTAAAGGTGGATGGTGAGTACAGCTGCATAACCCCTGTGGGTTTGGATGTTGGATGTCCATTAGCAGGACGCCTGTGTCATCACTCCAAGTTGGTGATACAGATTGTCTGTATTGATCTAGTTCCTGGATCAAGCCGTTCTTCTTTTCTCTGAGTAAGCGTGTCACGGAGATAGTAAGAAACGACTGCTCTTGCTGTCATAGGAGGCCCTCGTCAGGCATCTAACGCTGTTCATGGCAGTCATTAATTTCTCACGTGGATTTCTGAGTGGAGTAGTCCCAGATTTGAGTGGCCTCTCTGTAACAGTTCTAGTGAGGAAAGAAGACATGGCAGCTAGAAAGTATTTCCTCTTGCAACCTGACGGAGCCGTGCAGGCATTCAGAAAGCTGCTTTACCATCTCCAGTTTGCAGATGACACAGCCTCAGAAAGGAGAGCCGAGAGAGAACCCAGTCTGGGCAGAGAAGTGGTTCTTAAGCTGGCAGCCCTCTCCAGCCTAGCTCAGTGTCATTTGTCAGGGGCTGTCAGGTGAACGGAAGTGCTTCTCAGGACAACATTACTTTGTATATTTGTGGGGCGGTTATTAATAAAGTCAGTCAATTCTTGCTGTTAGGGTGGTTGACTTTTCTTCTTTGTTTCCAAGAGCACAGAGGTGGCAAATTTTGAGCAAGTTGTTAAAACCAGAAGATAGCAAAATGAAACTAAAATTTTTGCAGAACACTGTATATTTCAGATATAGATGTAGAATTAATAATGACAGGTTAATGATTATGGTACAGTTGACCCTGGGCCTGAAAGAAATGCATCTGGTTGTAAAAGAAAACAGGCCTAGAGAGCTTAAAAAACTGAGGGCAGGATGGATTCTGGGAGGAGCCTGAGGATCACAGACGGGCTATAGAGTAATGGGCCCTGAGGCTATTACCTCGCTTTCGCAGATTTATACCGGGTCTAACCAAAACAACCACTAATGAAAACCCACAAAGCAAAATGCGGGAGGGTATCAGAGGCGGCAAAAGGCTGGGACCCCCTGCATGGAGCCGGGGTCATGGCCCTGCAGGGGCACGGAGTCAGTGCAGAGTCAGTGCTGCTGGGCTGCACTTGCGAACCTGCATTTTAACCCCCTAGGTGGTGATGGTGGAGGCCCTCTCAGGTCACATGACAGACACTGGGGTAACTGGGAATGTGCAAGTTTTGGGATTTGAATCCAGCCATGTACAAACTCAGGGATCTTGGGAAAGTTCCTCCTCTGGATCTCAGCCTTTTCATCTGTAAAAGAGGAAAGAATAAAACAGGATTGTAAGGAGGTTAAACGAGATAAGGCACATCAAGTGCTCAGTACAGTCTGTGGCACCCAGGAAGCTCCTAACAAATGTTAGCAACTTGTATGTGAGTGAAATATGGATAATAGTAACCATCTCAGCGGGACTTGGTAAATGCCCAGCCCAGGGCCCGGAGTGTGCTGAGTCCTCTGCAGATGTTTCCATCCCTTTCTCCAGCGCTCTGCATACTTATCTTGTTTCCTTGCTCACAGTACAAACTCCAAAGAGGGAGAGCTCAAAATTGTTACGTGTTCTAGTCAATGAACTGTGGCTGTTACACAGCGAAGACACTTGGTACCACTTCCGGTTATGTAAACATCACTGAGAATGAGTTTTGTAAATAAACTTTTAATTTATTTGATTTTTATTTTAGAACAGTTTTAGATTTACAGAGTAATTGGGAAGACAGTACAGGGAGTTCCCATGTACCCCATGCCCAGTTCCCCTGTTAACCTCTCATGCCAGGGTGCTCCATTTGTCACAACCAATGAGCCTATATTGATATATTATCGTTAACTAAAGTCCATATTTTACTCACATTTCCTTAGTTTTTCCTTTTTCTCTTTGAGGCTCCCACCCAGTTCAACACATTATCTTTAGTTATTGTGTCTCCTTAGGCTCGTCTTGGCTGTGACAGTTTCTTCCTTGATTGTGATTTTTAGGAGTGTTGCTCAGGGATTTTGTAGATTGTCCCTCTGTTGGGACTTATCTGATCTTATCCGATGTTTATCTCATGATTAGACTGGGGGTATGGATTTGGGGAAGGAAGACCACAAGGGTAGAGAGCCATTTTCATCACATCATATTGAAGGTTGATACTACAACTTATCACTATTGATGTTGACCATGATCACCTGGTTAAGGTCATGTTTATCAGAAGAATGATTCTGAATGACTTAAAACAATCTCTCAATCCACAGTCTAGAAATAAGGTGGTCAACTTAGTTTTAGTGGATCTCAAAAGTCAAACAATATTTATTTAGTTGTGTATTTACTTTGCTTAAAAAGTACTCTTTGAAGCATGGGCCATTCTGAATTGTGGTCTTTTAATTTTCATATACTAAATTTCTACCATTAAAAAGGGCCCGCACTTAGGTCACTCCCCTGCCCATATCTCTCAGTGCCAGGGAGGGGATTGCTGGGGCCGTGGGAATAAGCAGAGTGAACCCCTGGACGTCACTGAGGGGTACTGTGATGTCCGTCTCACTGCCCCTCAGTTGGACACCTGCATCTGCCCATTTGTCAAGGTCCACAGACCTGAGGAAGTTGGACCTAAAATAAATTGTGGAGTTGAATTATAAACTAAGCATAGAAACTCATTTGCCTATGTCTTTTCAACTTTTCAAGTAGCTTATCAAATTTCTACCATATTGACTCTGAAGTAGCATCTTACTAGTTAAGAGTTAAGAATTATTTGACCCCTTGGTTGCTGCTTACCTTCTATACTGTGTTCTCGGAGCCCCTGTGTACACCCCGTGTGAGTCACAGAATAGTTCCTGGCTAGGGTTCCCTGGGGTTCAGCGGTCCCCAGGGCAAGAGTACCCACTCCAGCTTTCTTCCTTTTGCTCTACATACAAGGGCAACTGAGATGTATGGTTAAAAATGTTCAGGATGACTCTAAATAGGTGAATTGCTGAAGCTAAAGTAAAAGAGAACTTATCAACAGCCACCATGAAATGATATTTAAGTAAACTAACCTATACCATCCTAAGACGCACTAAAAACAGCAAACCCTGATAGTGATGAGCGTTCAGTGGTAAACATAGTGTCAGGGGGGGCTGGACAGAGCATCAGGTTATTTGTCTGCACCCTCCAGAGTCCTTATAAGGAAAGTCAACACCCCAGATCTATTATGAGTGTCCCCCCCAACCCGCCCTCTATATTTGCTTGAGCACCGCTCACATTATGTGTCTACAGAACGGTGGTTGTGAATGCGGTCCTAGTGAAGTCAGGTTGAGTCCTCGGGGCCTGGAAGGATCTAGTGCTAAATGCAGTCACCACCCTGGAGGTCACTGGGAGCCAGTGGGTAGCGGCAGGCAGCCAGTGGCCAGGTCTAAGTACTTGCTCTGCCACACTGCTCTCTCTCTCTGGGCAAATTTCTTGGTCCTTGTGCCTCAGTGAACTCCTGGGGAAACGAGACTGATGGCATGTAGTTCTTCGAGCGGACCGAGGAGTAGGCACGTGAGTCCACTTCCAGGAGGCAGAGCACGGGAGAGGCTGGGTAAGCGGGAGCTTTGCTTCCCTCCGACTTCTGAATGCAGCTGGACGGGCACATGTGCCAGCTGGGCAGGAGTGAGGCAGCCTTTGAGGCCCCGGGCACTGAGGGAGCAGGGAACACCTGTCTGCACAAAGCCTGGAGTTGGCTCATGCGGCCACCTGACGTGGCCCCGCTGTGGATGGTCCCGGTTCATTCGCCTCCAAGGCCCAGCTGCCCTCCAGTCCCTGGGCCTTCTAAGATTCCCTCAGACATCCATCTTCCCTATATCAACACCTTTGATTTATTTTTTTCTTAACAAGTTTGAAGCATTTGACCAGCTCGCTCTTATTAAGAGGGTAATGAGAATGGTTTAGCCACATGCCCCACCGCTCTCCACAGGGCGTTTCTAGATTCTCTCACCTTCTCCTCTCTCTGCACCGTGACAGAGGGTGGGCTGTGAAATTGCATGTGACCGTGGGGCTGAGGGGAACCCAGGTGCCCACGTAGACCAGCTCTTGTGGCACCGCCTCTGCGGTGCCCCACAGGTGGGCTCGGTGGTACTCCTTCATTTATTTAGGGCTAAAAAACTGATGGGAAATAGTTGGATAAGTTTTAAAAGATTGTGATCAGACTTTACCTGGAGGAGCGAGTGGGATTTTTCTATTAAAAAAAATCAGTCCTGGGGGTTTTTGATGATTTATTTGTATGTGAAAGAAGGAATAGAAAGCAGGGAAATGTTATTAGTAGGTGCTTTTAGGAACCAAGGTAAATAAAGGTGACTTACATGCCTTGTATTAGTGACACGCGTAAAATGGTTTGGGGTCCCAAAATCTGTACAGGAAGTGGGGTGAACCAGGAGCCTGAGGGTGAGGGCAGGCTCTAAGGGGGCCTCAGGTTTTGTCTCATAAATTACAAATACAAAGAAAGCATTCCCACAGCCAGTAAATCAACTGTTACTTGGCAGATCCACGATGGTATCTCAAACTTGTTCAAGGCCAAAGACTTTCAGTTCCTAGAATATCTAATTTTAACCTTTTAGAAAAAGGAAGAATCAGGACAAGGGTGGGGGTAGGGTGGGGGTAGCTATTTAATTATATTTACTAAATACTGTCAGTTTGAGGAAACGTCTCATACGCTTGTGTATTTGTATACTGAATAGTTCTCTGTACCAACCAATTTATTTTGCTATTGGCTTGATAAGAAATGCATTAAGCTTTAACTTGGGCTTCAGTTTCAATTTTTTTTTTAATGCAGAGAAAGTATTCCCATACCCATTAATCTATGACCTAGTTGGATTCAAAAGGAAATTTCATAAGAGTACAAATACTCCTTCAAGACTGAGCCTGGACTCAGGGCCAAACATCACCAGCCTCCATGGACAGCCTGCGTTCCTTCCTATTAAAAGATGGTCTCAGAATAGGACCACTTCTATTATAGAAGCAGCGGCAATTTAAATTGCATTTCTAAATATAACACGTTCAAGGCAGTGACTAAAAATTCACATCTGAAACTAACCATATCGCTTTCATCTTTTTATACTCAAAGTAGTTCATGGATTGCCAAGAATATTCTCCCCCGAACTCATTTTTGTTGTTATTTTGAACTTTATGAATTATGCATTGATTTGGAAGATGTGAATTCTTCATTGGCTTTGCCCTGGAAAGTTGATGTTATATCTTTTTCTTAATCTTTCTATCCATTCACTGAGGAGAATAAAAAAAATGTTTCTACATCTGCTCGTAACAATATTTTGAGGGCTAAGATGAGATCAATTTTTGGTCCTCCTAAGAGGAAAGTGTACATAAATAGCAAGATATTTTTTCAAAATTGTGTCATTCCATTGTGCTACCCTAGGACATTTTATGCAATTTCTGCAGGTAGAACTTTTGACCTGTATTATCTTGCTTTCTAACATAAGAAAATTGAAGCCCATAGCTTACAACTCTATTTTTTTTTTTTTTATTAATAGTGGAACGCATGTTAGACTACTTAGTGCAGATAATGGTTTAAATTAGTTTTGTACGTGAAACAATACAAAATGGAAGTTTCACTGTTGGGGAAGCACTGAATTAGGTCTAGATGGTACCCAAGAATGGTAATTAAATTTTCAGATAAATGTTGTTGAGTCTGAGTGGTATAACATTCTTTTTGATATTCTCATTGTTATTTGACAGAATAAGCATCATTTTTTATTTTTGTGGTGTTTCCTGTGTATGAACTATGGTAGGGGAGGAGAGAGAATGTGTTTTAGGGTATGAGTTGTATGATATGGTGTAAATGATTGACTATGAGGATTTTGTCATTTAAGCAAAATAAAGGTACCATTCAAAAATTGTGTTTGTTTTCTAGGGACACAACCAAATCATAACATACAGCAGACCAATCTATTTTTGTGTGCTGTGTGGCCTTATTTTGCTTCTTGATGCAGGGGCCAAAGCCAGGCACCCCCCCACTTACAGTGTGTATGGCCTGAAGCTCTTCTCTCCAGGGTCGCTCCAGTCAGCTAGGGACCTCTTAATAGGTGAGTTCATTTTGGGGTTGTGGGGAGACTTCAGAGGAGGGAGGGTGTGTCTTCCCTTCATCTTCTGAGCCCTTCATTGGAGAGACTTCCCTACTTGATTATTGGGTGAAGACATGAGCATCCCCTCTTGGCTTGCCCACCTTCAGAAGTCTATCTGGGTGCCTGAGCCCCAAAGCATGCAATATGGAATTATTCTAAAGGGTTTAGACATCCATGACCGAGAAGTTGCAGCATTGTGATACCTGAAGACTGGCCACTGTGGTGCCTGGTGCAGGGTGTCAGTGGGGCTCCCTGGGGTGGGGTGGTTGTGTCATCAGGGTAGCAGCCACAGGCCCATCTGTGTGGCACAGACACTAGGGTGACACTTGAGTGGGCGTGATCCTCTGTTCAGATAGAGTCCTGGACAGGCTGGTCACCCAGCCTTTCACTGGTACCCTTTGCTCGCCTTCCAGTCTAGGTAGTGTTGGATGTAAAATGGTCCATTTACACGTGTGACCTGCATATTGTAATGATTTAGAGCCCCGAACTGGAGCCAGATGGCTGGCTGTTTGAATTTCAGCCTTGCCGTTTTACTAGTTGTGTGACCTTGAGCAAAATTCAACTGTAATGTGGGGACTATTGGGTTGTCGGAAAAGTCATGACACATTTTTGCAACGAAAAACTTAGAAAAAATACGTCGTGACTTTTCCGACAACCGAATAAAACGGTATCCACCTCAGAGGTTGTTGAGAGTTTTAAATGAGTTTAGTGTATTGATACACACAGAACAGTGCCTGGCACCAGCTATCAGCTATCGTTGTTACTGTGCAGAGACTGTTCCCGTATTGGCCCGCAGCTCTGAGAGTCCTTGTGGTAACATCCAGAGGTTTGACACACGCTCACTTGGATCACATTGACCAAATGAGTGGCTACCAAGGAGACCGCCCCTGGATCTGTTGCTTGCCAGCTGGAGCGCTTACTCAGAGGAGACTGTCAAAGCTGTAGGTCCCACATTACCTTTCTCTGACTCCCGTGCCAACTCCCTGAGTCTCTCCAGTGGGACCGGGAGGACCCCGGATATGGCCTTTGTTTCCTTTGAGCTTTTTCTAGGTGAAAACTGTAGCAGCTGTTCCCCTGATTCCTGCCCTGACACCAGCTCCCATCCCTCTTCCGGCTCTATGGCAGCAAGCTATTCACTTCCCTCCGCCCAACCCAGCCCCGCTCACCCTTATCTGCACCCTCAACACCCAGCTTCCTGCTCCAGCAGGGGAGGAGCAGAG